AGAGGACATTGACTTAGTCTTTAATTATTTCATTTTCATTTATTTTTCTATTTTTGATTATGAATTAATTATTTTGAAATTATATAAATCTTTACTTACTTACTTACTTACTTACTTAAGATCGATTTATTAAGATTTAAATAATTAATACGGTTGAATTCGATTGATACGTAGCTAGTTGTAAATTTTATTCGACAGTAGATTTCAACAGTGTTCCAGAATATCACAACCGATACTGGACAATCTCAACCTGACATACTTTATAGCATATTCAATTTAATAAAATTAAAATTCGTAAGACATAGAAAATACTGTTATTATACGTTTATATTGATTAAGAAGAACACTTATATACTAATATATATATTACGTATTGATGAACTCACTGATATTTTATCAAAAACTCACTGAGCTGTCCTCACTTACCTGCGGGAGAAAAGTCATTCCGATGTCATTGTAAATTACATAGGTCCAAGTAATGAACGAGACAAGCTCTCATTTAATTATCTATGGCATGACATTCTCCTTTTAAACAAAATATTTACAGATTGACAATAAATTGATTTAGAATATAGCAAAGTGCTCTCGACCAATGAAATTGTAGGATTGGATGCCTCTTAATTGTGAAGAATGAATGTAAATCATGTTCTTAGTAAGGGATTATTCTATTATTTGGGTCTATTTACAGTTCAAAACAAAGAGTTTCTATAAATGAGTTACAACTGCCCCGAAGCACATTTATCAGATTGGAAGGATTTATCACACAGTGATTGAAACTGACTAAAAGTTCAATTGTGAAACAAACAAAAATCTCAAAATAAGTTGAAGTTTACTGGTGCAGTAAAATTTGTACCGTGAATGTCATTATGAAAATATTAATAACTTCAAATTACTAAAAAAAAATTAAACAATACCAAAGCAAAGCAAAAAAAGGAAAAAAAATCTTTCAGATAAAAAAATAACCTAAATCTTTAGCTTTCCAAAACTGATTACTTGATCAGTGGTTGGAAAGAATATTTATTTCCAGTATTCCGATAAAAAAAACAGGAATTTAATTTTGAACATATTAAAAACTTTTAAAGGCATTATTTTTGAACATTTTTGAACATTTCCCTGAAATAATGAAATATTATTTGATGTAAAAAGCCGGACCAAAATATTGGCTGTGAAATAAAATTTAGCTGTAACTCAAACATATTAATTGATTTAAACTGTAAATAAAAAATATGATAATTCCTCACTAAAATATTACATGATTTACATTCATACTCACAATCAATTCCTATATTATATTAACGACATTCCAACTGGTCTTACATCTACAGTACGTTTATTTGCAGACGACACAATAGTGTATTTGGCAATAAAATCAGATTCCGAAGCATCCACATTACAAAAAGATCTTGACAAACTGGCATTGTGGGAAACTATGTGGAAAATGGCATTCCACCCAGATAAGTGTAATGTAATTTTAGTCACCAGAAATAAAAAACCAATCAAATTTAACTACACATTACACAATCATTCATTAGAACATGTAACAACAGCAAAATATCTGGGGGTTACCATCAGTTCCAACCTTAAATGGGATGTGCACATAAATAACATATGCAAGAAAGCTAATAGCACCCTAGGCTTTCTAAGGAGGAACCTGAACATAAGCTCAACATCAATTAAAGAACAAGCATATAAGTCCCTAGTAAGACCATCACTAGAGTATGCTTGCTCTGTTTGGGATCCATACTTACAACAAGACATAGATAGCATTGAAAAAATTCAAAGGAGGGCTGCACGTCTTGTTACCAACAAATACAGAAACACCTCAAGTGTTGGTAACACGTTACAACATCTTGAATGGCGCAGCCTCTCTGACAGAAGAAAAGACTCAAGATTGGTAATGCTTTATAAAATTGAACACGAAAAGGTTGCAATACCTAAAAATAATAAATTAATCCCACAAAAAAGACAAACAAGACATTCAAATTCGAACAGCTTCCGAATTCCATCCTGCAAAACACAGTACAGAAAAGAATCCTACTTTCCAAGAACTATTACCGACTGGAACAAACTACCGGACAACATTGTAAATTGCACTTCAGTAGACTCTTTCAAATCTTCAATTTCAAAGCATCAATATTAACTCAACTATTACATCATACTTAATTATACAAAGCATTTTTTTTTTTAATTTTTTCGTATTTTTTAAAGATTGTATATATATCAATCTATGTCTTGTTGTAAGTTTCCTCCTGTGACATAATCTTCAATTTGTTGAAGGCGGTCACTATATGGTAGAAGTAGAAGTAGAAGAAACATATCCAATTCCTACCTTTTCTTTCTACTGTTGTGTCACCTAATATCTATAACGCTTTTTTAAAAAAAAATATTTCCCAAATGATATGAAAGTCCTTACATCAGTAAAACTAATCCATAAATGACATGCCCAAAAAGGAAGTCATGCATCAATTATAAACATTGCACATACAATTGAAACTAATTCTTGAATAGATCATTTGAGCCTTGAGCACTTTACTATATTCTAAGTTTGTAAGAGAATGATAATCCCTTACTTCATGATAAGTACTCGCTAACGCTCGTACTTAATCATGAAGAATGGGATTATCATTCTCTTACATATACGAAAAATAGACCTACGTGTCGGTTAGTGTATGGAAAGGTATATACTATGAAATTTAGAGCGAGGGGCTTGCCCCGAGCTCTTAATTTCATAGTATATACCTTTCCATACACTATCCAATTTAGCACATATTTACAACTTGAGTAATCCTGTAATTAGTCTATTGATATGTTTTGGCTGACTAGGTGTAGCTCATGTACGTAGTTTTGTAAATCTACTCACTAGTATCATTGTAAAATATTGAATCCAGAATGAAAAGATGGTAGCTGCTGGTGTAAGTATGTTTATTGACATAAAGCGGTGTTTTACTATTCATGTACTTCTTCACATGGTAAGATGACAAAATAAATTGACCAAAAGCAGGCAATAATTAAATTGCAGTGGAAGCTTTACAATCTTGAAAACATTTTTTTCAATTTCACCTAAAAACTAAAACTATAATAAATTTTACACATATGGATAGTTTGCACTGGCGGATCCAAAAAGGGGGAGGGGGAGTTCAGGAGGGGGATGGAAAACGCCCTTTTTGTGATGATCAATGCTTTTGAATGAGGACATACAGTTGGACCCCCCTTTTATCTTGGGTTGGAACCCCTTTTAAAAATGACTGGATCTGCCCTGGTATGTACCCATAGGTAGTCTAGTGGATAGTTTACATGCATGAAATATTTGTCACTGGACATTAAGCAACCAATAATCAATCAATTCATGACGAAATATATCAAATTGCTGTAATTTTCCTTCACAAGGTTTCATGGTTCACTCTTTTTTGTGTACAAAGTAATTGCATGGAAGATAAATGATTACAATTTTCAGATGGCGTTGTACTCTAATCAAGGTATAAAAAAAACATATGTGTTACTCTTTATTTAAATGAAAGAAACTTTTAATCGTCAAAAACATTTTTAGATCCAAAGATTAAATAGTAGGATGTTTGAAAAACAATTTGAAAACTAGTTACACACTATTTAGTTTAATTTGTAACACAGCATTTATTTCAAAATAGCCAGTAGCAATTTTTGTTTTAATATCTTGATTACGATACAATGAAATCTTACCCTTGTGGTCATTCATGCGTAGTTACTTAGTACATGGAAAAAGTATGTACTATGAAAATTAGAAGGCAACTATAAGCAATTTGATTGGACGAGAAGTTGTAAGTATGTGCTAACTTATCTATATTTTAGATATATTATGTGCCAGAAAAGCTCAACAGGGAGTGCCAGTAAACATTTTTCTCGCTTAACCATTTGGTTGAGATTTGATGATTTACCAGGCGTGCATTAGATGAAAGGTACAAACATGAAAAAATTTACAAATGGCGGCAGTCAAGTTATGTGAATGTCTTTGGAAACGGCGAGGCATGAAATGATACTGTACACAATAAATGAATTATATTATATGCATAAAAAGTGTACAAATCAACACCAATGAGAAAAGGTATATAATACAAATATCAATAAATATTTCGGATATATATATATACCATCAGTTTGGGGTCATGAAAATGAATCTTATCAATCTATTTATTATTTTTATTTCATTTATATCAAAGGTAGGTTCATTTAAAAAAAAGTTTCGTTTCAATCCGTCAACACATATCCAATAGATGTACATGAAAAAAGTACAAGCACTAAAATATCTAACATTGAAGTTCTCTGAATTGAAGTAATCCTTTGATATATGATGCATATTGCACAACAAAACTATTAGGTGAAACATGAAATTATTATTGGTATATCTTTGTCGAAAAAAAAAATTCATGAAAAAAGTATAGAATTATCAAAGATAAAAAAAATGTTAACTTTACAAAAGAAAACATAAAACTGAATATACACATGAAAACTGATTATACAAGTTTTATACATATATATATAAAAAAAAAAATTTTCAACAGAAAAATAATAAATTATATATCTAAAGTAAAGTTTTAAAAGAATTATGAAATTAAACGGTTACCATGTTAACTTAAAGAAAATAACTTTGCAACAAGTTAAAGCCGTGCTATATAACGTCCATATTTCGAAATTGAAAGGGGGAATCGTAAGAAATATAAAGTATCCATATCATTTATATTAAGATAGGTTTTTTTTAAACTTTCTGTAAAAATCCGAGTTTTCAGTTGTCGTGTTTTGTAAATTTAAACTTGATTTAACTTGATTAAGAAATGTTCTTCGTCACTTATTCTATTTAAACCACAAAGTTGACATAAACGTTCTTTTCTTTTTATATTTCTGTACTTCCGCCTTAAAATTTCCAAAAGATGGTCGCTTATCCTTAATTAAGTAATAACTACTTACTATATTAGTTTTTTTTTTATCGTACCGTTCCTTTCAATTTGTTTTCCTTCTTTTATTCAACACCGAAAGCCGTCTTTCAATACTTCCGGTTTGTTTGCCACATCAACAAACGAAAAAGCATGGAAGCAGTATACCGTCTACCTTACCAGTTATTGGTGTGTCCAAACCTGAAATTGAAGCGTCCAACATGGCTTCAACAACCATCAGCAATGACCATGTTTGCTTTTGTGCTTGGTTCTTATTTCCTTGTAACAGGAGGTAACGAATGTTGAAATAAATTTGCTGAAAAAACCGTCTCGCGTAAAATAACGCAGTCAGAACCACGAATCCTTAATTTTGTACAATTTCTATAACATTAAACCTAAAAGGCATATAAGTGCTATAGCCCAAACCTTGCCAGCTGTACCGGGTGCTTCGTCAGTGCAGATGATTACTATTACAAGTTGGGACCCATCAGGCATCACCCACTGGGAATCCAGGTCTGTTGGCCCTGATTCCTGTTCGCCCTAGTACATGTTTGCCCTAAATACCTGGGTTCGTTCGCTCTGAGTCCGTTTGCCCTGATTTCTATTTTATTTTGTGGTCTATATGTGCTGTTTCGGAATTTTGGGTCCTCAATGCTCTTCAACTTCGTACTTTATTTGATCTTACATTGTATTAACTTTTTTTATTCGAGCGTCACTGGTGAGTCTTTTGTAGACGAGACGTGTGTCTGTCGTACAAAATTTCAATGATGAGTTTATTTACAATCAACAGTCATTAAAAGTTATTCTGAATAAAAGCAAATTTAACAATGAAGCCAATCAACCTGATTACATCATCGCTAGCCAACGGTTACGATCCACTTCCCTCCTCTCCATCCTTGGCGGATTGAGATAGAATTTCGGAGACACAAGGTAATGATTTTCATTGGTTGCAGTCGAAACTCGCTGTATCCAATCAAAAAGCGACTATAACATCATCACGTGTAAATGTAGAAAGTGTATGTAAACAATTGCCACGTGCTTATTGTGCAACAAGTCTTTACATCCCTAAACATACGACTATATTTAGTGACAATTTGAATGTTTTTAATCAATTAATAGAAGTTCCTGTGTATGTTTCTTGCACAAATGCATGAATGTCAACGTATATTTTCGTTTCCTGCTTTACAAAGTGTGTATAATCTAGAAGCTACCGTGTGTTTACCTCCAAATTGAAGAGTTCAAGTGCTACCATTGGTCAACAATAATGTATTCGGAATGGGCGTGACTTTAATCTACCGATAGATGGCGCAACATTGTTATCACAAATGTTGGCTTAATCTGCCAAGGGTGGAGAGGAGGGAAGTGGATCGTAACCTTTGGCTAGCGAAGATGACCTGATTAATGCTCCAAAACAAAAACCAATGTTTTTTTTTTAATTTTCATGTTTATGTATGAATTTGGAAAGATGGATATTTTCTTTGATAATTACCATTTAACATGTTTAAATATCTGAATAAGATTATAAAACCTTAAATTATACCATTAATATTAATATTTTTTTTTTTTTTAAATGAGGGCGAACGGACTCAGGGTGAACATGTAATTAGGGCGAACTGACCTGATACCACCCACAGGTCAGGAATAACCATTAATATTGGTGGATTATAATTTATACCTACATTGTTAATTCAAGTACATGTATAATCCACCATTTGACATATACTGAGACAGACCAATTGAGGTACACAAAATGTATACTGACATTTTATTCACTTTAAATGAAATGTGAGCATGTTATTGCATACATGTATATCATTTAAAGCATGATGAGTTCTCATTGGTGACATATTATTGCTTCTAACTTCCTGTGCTATATTTTATGAGCAGGTTGATTATACCTTGATTGAGGTATAATCCACTAATTGATGTATATTCATAGATATAAAAAGATGTGGTATGAGTGCCAATGAGACAACTCTCCATCCAAGTCACAATTTATAAAAGTAAACTATTGTAGGTCAAAGTACGGTCTTCAACACAGAGCCTTGGCTCACACCGCACAGCAAGCTATAAAGGGCCCCAAAAATTACTAGTGTAAAACCATTCAAACAGGAAAACCAACGGTCTAATCTATATAAAAAACGAGAAACACTTATGAACCACATCAACAAACGACAACTACTGAACATCAGATTCCTGACTTAGGACAGGTGCAAACAATTGAAGTGGGTTTAAACGTTTTAATGGTACCAAACCTTCACCCTTATCTGAAACAATAGTGTTACATCACAACATAGAAAGACACACTATAAAATATCAATTGAAATGGCTTAACTCAATCAAAAGACATATTAACACAAGTGAACATACACTGAACGAATAAATTTGATCTATGATACAATGTAAATACAAAATCAATAAAATAAGGGATGAATAATTAAAGTAACAGTATTATACCGCTGTGAAATGTTAAACACTTTCAGAAAAACAACAATAACCTTAAACAAAAATCCACCATTTACACTAATATTATACACAGGTAAATGAAAATAATTTTGTTGTTAGGTATACAGTTTAAAAGGAGAAGGGAAATATTTTTACAAAATGAATAATTTCATGACTGGTTGGTCTATAGCTGATCAGTACCAACTTCAATATAAAAATAAGATGTGGTTTGATTGTCAGTGACTCCACCAGAGACCAAATGGCATACATGTATAAATTAACAACTATAAGTCACTGTATAGCCTTCAGCAATGAGCGAAACCCATACTGCATGTACTGCATAGTAAGTAATAAAAGTCCCCGAAATGACAAATGTAAAACAATTCAAACGAGAAAACTTAACGGCCTGATTTGTGTACAAAATTTTAAAAAAAAATATATATGATATACTGCAACAAACAACAACCATTGAAATACAGGCTCTTGAATTGGAACAGGCACATACAGAATGTGGTGGTGAAAAACATGTTTGCTAGCCCAAAACCCTATCCCTAACCTGAAAAGAGGTGTAACAGTACAACATAAGAAAAAACTATAACATTGTATAAAAATCAGTTGAAAAGGGCTTAACTCATCAGATCTATACAAAGCACACAAAAAAACTTAACAAAAACACAAACAAGCATTCTGGCAATACATAGTCCCCTACCGGTTAAAAATTAATTGTACTGGAACAAAATGCTAACTTGATCTATAACTTTTAATGGTGTAAACTATATAACAATTATCAAATCAATATCTTCAAGCATGAAAAAAGAAAGAGTGGAAAACTGATTATTTGAGTGAATTTTCTAAGTCCAAGGACCATAACTCTGCACAAAATCATCAGACCGGAACAAAATTTGAACTTGATCTGTAACTTGTCATGATAAAACAATGTACTAATTATTACATCAATATCTTCAAGCATGACGAAAAGTAGTGCGGAAAACTGAATATTTGAGTGAATTTTCTAAGTCCAAGGACCATAACTCTGCACAAAATTATCAGACCGGAACAGAATTCGAACTTGATCTGTAACTTGTCATGATAAAACAATATACCAAATATCAAATCAACATCTTCAAGCACAAAGAAAAAAAATGTGGAAAACTGATTTGACGGACGGACGGAGTGCAAACCTAAAGTCCCCTGAGACTTCGTCAGTAGGGGACTTAAAACACAAATTACAGGTCTGAGAGCACTAGCAGTTACTGAAAGATTGTTCAAAGTCATAACTACTAATGTATCTAAGACTAAAATGTCAATCAGTACACATCTAACTTCCAATAGATTTAGTGTAAAGATGTCATTGGGCCACACCAATTTGATTAATAGTTCTTTGAATTTTCCCACTCCTGTTTGGAGAAACTGACTTTTCAATAAAAAAGAAATTACCTCTTCCGCAAATTTTTGGTCCGCATGCCGCTCCAAAATTAGTTTCTCCTTGAAATTTTTTTTCACAAAGACACTATTCTGTTGCATATGACAATGTATGATGCTCCTACCATTCTAAATGCATGTGTGATAAATCGATTTGTAAATAAAAGGTGAAAAATCGGGATGCCAACATGCAGTTGTGTCAGCTCATTGCCGTGGACAAGTAGTTATTGAACACACAGTTATCCGAAATGCTTCTGGTTTAACCTTTAAAGACCTGTCGTGCCTGTTCTAGGATACAAAAATTAAAAATCTTTCATTAGATGACCACAAACACATCAATATTTGTTGGAACCATTTTCACCCCCCGAACCTTGTTTCAACCGACATAGACCTATCTATCTTTTGGATGAAATGAATTGTAAAATCCCATGAACTTTTTAAAAAATCACAGAAGTATTTGATGTTGATGAAACCCCATATCCCCTTGTTAGTCTTTTGGCATGCAAGCAGAACTCTTATTTTGTTGGGGGGAATTTAAAGAGTTCCCAACAAGACCAAGGTGATGCCGTATTGTGATTGGCATGCTCATAATAATTAGGGGTGTGTAATATTAGTTTCAACCACTTCTAGTCAAGCTAAAGAGTTTTAAATGCACTACAGCTTTTAGGAGCAAAAGGAAAGAGTATTTTGCTCACTGCTCAGTAAGAAAAGTGCATGTGAATGGGGTGACAGGTATTTTAAGCATGTTAAGGGAATATTTTAATACATTTGTTATCTACATGTGTAGCAATATAACAATCTTACTCAGGATGTTGTTTTAGTACAAAGCAAGAAATAATCACCTCCCTCATTATTTTGATCCTAGATATGCACAAATAGTTTCAACTGGATGTCAAGCAGCCAATAAATAAAGACAACAGTAGTATACCGCTGTTCAACTTCAATAGTCATAATTCGATTAAGCCAAAACAAATACGGGTTACAAACTAAAACCAAGGGAAACACATCAACTATAAGAGGAAAACAACAGAAACACTGAACTACAACATTAAACAATCATTACCATATAATGAAAACTATCAAATATCTTTCAGGGGCATTTTTTTGGATACATACACATAACACATATTTTAATTTTGTTCAACATGTGTCATTTACCTAACTAACATACTCCCTCTTGTAAAACTGTATCTGCTATGCTTCCTAAATATATATATATGGATTAAAATGAAAATTCACATAGACAAAGCTTACTTGAAGAAAATAACCAAAATTAACTAAACCACAATGAGACAAGAAAGTCTGATATGGTACAGACACCAATAAATCAAATTATATGCATTAGAGCATCTGTTGCTCCTCATTTTTCTATGAAATAACCCAGTTATAACATGTACATGAATTGTACAACTTCTAAATCACACAATTTAAAAAAAAATTATACTAACTTGTAGAGCACTCGCCTCAAAAAAACTCATTTTCAAGAAATATATAATAAAAACAAAAAAATTTCGCTAGCTCACCCCATATTTTTTGTAGCTTTTGTCTGAAGAACTATTAATCAAATTGGTGTGGCCTTAACACAGAAATTATTTACTAAATGGCTAAATATATACGTTACAGATTGTAAGACCATGAATGTGCATATACATTTGTATGTATAATAGATATAGGGGGTCAATGAAAAAAATGTTTATGCATTTGTTTTTACATAAAATATAAATATAAAATAAACTTTGTATGGACAATATACAAATATTATTTTTTATTAATTCTTTATTCAGCACAAATTACACCCATAAGAGGATCAAAGGCTTATGATTGAATTTTTTTTCAGGTATAATCTATGATGTGATTGTAGAACCACCAAGCATAGGGTCAACAACTGATGAAAGAGGCAACTCTAAACCTGTAAGTTTAACCTACATGAATATATGTATATTTACTGAATGTAAGTGTATTTCCAGAACAGAATATTCAAATGAATTGGTGCCATAGTGCATTTTCACACATTTAAAAGTATGAAATGATTTTAAAAATACCACACAGGACATGAGCATTGTCCTATTCATCTAGAAATCAATCATCGAATGGGTATCCCTCCAAAATCTCTCTGTTTACCAAAACTTTAATAGATCCATTGCAATCATATTTACTAATACTTAGACATGTGTTGGTGAAGTACAAAATGTATATCATTTTTATACGACCGCAAAAAAATTTTTGTGGTCGTATATTGGTATGACGATGGCGTCGTCGTCGTCTGGCGTCGTCCGAAGACACATTGGTTTTCGCACTCTAACTTTAGTTTAAGTAAATGGATCTCTATGAAATATTACCACAAAAGGAAGGTTGGGATTGATTTTGGGGGTTATGGTACCAACAGTAAAGGAATTAGGGGCCAAAAATAAGCATTTTTGTAACTTCCAGACATAACTTGTGTGTTAGTGTATGGATCTCTCTGACATTGTACCACAAGGTTCCATATCACAAAAGGAATGCTGGGATTGATTTTGGGGGTAATTGCCTCAAAATTTTAGGAATTAGGGGCCAAAAAAGGGGCAAAAAACAAGCATTTTTCTAGTTTCATAACAATAACTTGTGTGTAAGTGTATGGATCTTTCTGAAATTGTACTACAAGGTTCCATATTACAAAGGGGAAAGCTGGGTTTGAGTTTGGGGGTAATTGCCCTAAACGTTTAGGAATTTGGGGCCAAAAAGGGGCCAAAAAACACATTTTTCTAGTTTCCAGACAATAACTTGTGTTCAAGTGTATGGATCTCTCTGATTTTGTACTGCAAGGTACCATTCCACAAAGGGAAGGCTGGGATTGAGTTTGGGGGTGATGAATCATAAGGGGGTTCAAAAAATTTGGGGGGGGGGGGATTTTTTTTTTTTTTCCTTTTTTTTTTCTTTTAAAATTTTCCATTTTAAGTTGGTTATTTCTGATTTATATTTAAAAGCAAATAATAATGATATGGTAGGAGATACACACCAAACAGGATGTGTAAATTATTATATAATAAGTATTGTGCAATAGCAAGAAATTTTCAATTGCGCAGTATTGCACAATAGCAAGAAATCTTCAATTGCACAGTATTGCGCAATAGCAAGAAATCTTCAATTGCACAGTATTGCGCAATAGCAAGAAATATCCAATAGCACAATATTGCGCAATAGCAAGAAATTGTCAATTGTACAGTATTGCGCAATAGCAAGAAATATTTAATTGCACAGTATTGTGCAAAAGAAGATACTTCGTATAAATTGCTTATTTCTTGACCAATTTCAATGGGGTTTTATTCTTTAATTCTTGGGTTTCTTTAATATGCTGAATCTAACCGTGTATTTAGTTTTTGGATTTTGGGGCCCGTTTTTAAATTGGTCCACATTGAGGTCCAAAGGGTCCAAAATTAAACTTTGTTTGATTTCATCAAAAATTTAATTATTGGGGTTCTTTGATATGCCGAATCTTACCATGTATTTAGATTCTTAATTTTTGGTTCCGTTTTCAAATTGGTCTACATTAAGGTCCAAAGGGTCCAAAATTAAACTTAGTTTGATTTTAACAAAAATTGAATTCTTAGGGTTCTTTGATATGCTGAATCTAAACATGTATTTAGATTTTTGATTATGGGCCCAGTTTTCAAGTTGGTCCAAATCGGGGTCCAAAATTAAACTTTGTTTGATTTCCACAAAAATTGAATATATGGGGTTCTTTGATATGCTGAATCTAACCATGTATTTAGATTTTTGATTTTTGGGCTGCGTTATCAACTTTGTCCACATTGAGGTCAAAAGGGTCCAAAATTAAACTTTGTTTGATTTCATCAAAAATTGAATTCTTGGGGTTCTTTGATATGCCGAATCTAACCATGTATTTAGATTCTTAATTTTTGGGCTGCGTTATCAACTTTGTCCACATTGAGGTCAAAAGGGTCCAAAATTAAACTTAGTTTGATTTTAACAAAAATTGAATTCTTAGGGTTCTTTGATATGCTGAATCTAAACATGTATTTAGATTTTTGATTATGGGCCCAGTTTTCAAGTTGGTCCAAATCGGGGTCCAAAATTAAACTTTGTTTGATTTCAACAAAAATTGAATATATGGGGTTCTTTGATATGCTGAATCTAACCATGTATTTAGATTTTTTGATTTTTGGGCTGCGTTATCAACTTTGTCCACATTGAGGTCAAAAGGGTCCAAAATTAAACTTTGTTTGATTTTATCAAAAATTGAATTCTTGGGGTTCTTTGATATGCTGAATCTAACCATGTATTTAGATTTTGGATATTGGACCATAATAGGTGAATGTCCAATTTAAAATTTTTAAGTTCTTAGAACACATTCATTCTGTGTCAGAAACCTATGCTGTGTCAAATATTTAATCACAATCCAAATGCAAAGCTGTATCAAGCTTGAATGTTGTGTCCATACTTGCCCCAACTGTTCAGGGTTCGACCTCTGCGGTCGTATCAAGCTGCGCCCTGCGGAGCATTTTATTTGAATTTGGGAAAACTATTGTTGGGAGGTACAAAAATGTAATACACATTTATTTCCTTGACATAGGGAGATATAAAGATTTGTTCACCCAAGAAAATTCCTATTTTCTAAGGGAAATATGACTTTTGGCATGTGTGTGTTGGAGGGTGAACAAATCTTCATTCATGTACAAGTGTATCTCCCTTAGCCATGGGAAATGAATCTTTAATTCCACTGTTTGTACCATTTGCACTTTCTGAACATAAAACATTCATTTACCGGTACAGTCAATTTTTTATATACCCTTGCTTTTATAACTAACCATGGCATACAGTACATCAAAATTGATATTTATTCTGTGACATGTTGTTTCTGTTCTGATTTTACATACAAAATTAGTTGAAACACAATATTGACAATTATGATAGTATCACTATGTAAAAGCATAAACCCATTATAACTTCACATGAGGTAGCCCTGATGTTTAGAGGGGAATATCATGCTCAGAGGGGGGTTTAATGTTATGTTCAATGCCATGTTGGATAGCCTCACCCAATCAAATTTTAATTTAGCTATAAAATTAACATACAGTGGTCATGGTGGTAGAATGACTTTTATAAAATTTTATTTCAAAGACGATGCCATAAACTGGGATTTGACAATTTAAAAATAAGATGTAATGAGACAACTCTCCACCAGAGACCAAACAATGTAGAAGGTTAGCACTTATAGGTCACTGAACAGCCATTAACAAGGAGCAAAACCCATACAATGCAGCCCTTCCATATAGTCTACACAAAAATGTCAAGAAGGTCTTAATTAAAACAAAATAAACAAAGGTTATGATTAAAATTTTCATGTTTATTTTGAATTTTGTATAACAATAAGATTCAGTAAAGCTTCTTTCAAATCCTTTCTAAAATGCACACTTTAACAAGAAAACAACCATAAACGTAGAGATAATATATACATGTATGTAGTTGACATGGGGTCAATTAAATGTCAATTTAATTATAGCAGTCAATTACTAACAGTTTAAAGGGAAGTTTCATATATAATTTATTTTTCAGGTAGCATTCATGCCACACAGAGTAAACGGACAGTATATAATGGAAGGATTAGCTTCCAGTTTTTTATTTACTTTAGGTGGTCTAGGTTTTGTTATATTAGACCAAACTAATAAACCAAGTATGCCAAGATTAAATAGAATCCTTCTTTTATCCATTGGATTTGGAGCGATATTAATATCATTTTTCATGTCAAGAGTTTTCATGCGAATGAAATTACCGTAAGTATGATAAATGTATGGCTTATCAGGGTCGTAGACAGGGGGTTTTAGGGGTTCGTAGCAAAAAGCACTATTAAAGTCGACCTTTGAACTGTGAAGTTATTAAAGTTGCGATTTTGTTTGTCGCCAGTCAATGTAACCCCTTTTAAAAATTCCTTCTGGCTACGTATCTGCTTATTATACTCACTTATTATGTATCATACATTCATGCACATAGATTTACTTGAACATTCATTGTTGAATGACAAAAAAATATACAAAAAAAAATGATTTCTGGAAATATGAATGACTACAGCTAGAAAGATAATTCACTGGAAGAACCTTAACTACCTTGTTTAGACAGTATTATTAGATGAAGGTGAATAAAGCTTGAAAATATTATTATTTTTTTTTAATGTAGCATTTCTCTCTGTCAGAATTTATTTTTTCTTCAAGATTAGGTACCTTTTTGAATTTATCTCCCTTTGCATTATATATATTGAGTAGAAAAGAAATCAATAAGAATTATGTAAAAGATCAATTTATGAAATACATATTGTACAACATGATCAAAAAGGTTACTGTATAGATCAACAAAAAAGAATACCGTCAAAAATCATAGTGAAGTCAAAACAATATGATGAATATCATGACAAAAACAACAAAAAGCAAACTACAGTCCACAAAACACTACAATAAAACAAAATACTGAGCACCCAAATTAATCGGGGTGATTTCCGGTGCTTTAAAAAAATGTAGTAAGATTGCCAACATGGCCAATGAGAACTTTCCACCAGAGACCAAATGACGTTTAAGTTAACAACTAAAAAAGAAAAACAAAGGATATGGGTATCCATCCATGACACAAAATCAGTACATGCACAGCAAAAAACACAAAAAGCAAAGGAAAAACGCTTTTATTGCTGTTCTTCATCTCAAAGTTACTTATCTGTTTACAGACCCTTGGACCTTGGTTGTACTTTTTGCCACTGCTTCCACTCTTACATTTAGCTAGTTTCAGTTGTAGATAATTGACAGGTGTTATTGAGTAAGGATTCATGTTGAGAATTTACAAAGACTTGCCTTGATTTTGCACCAGTTGACTTAATAATTTTTGCCCAAAATAAATGTTGGTCTGTGACATCAAATGCTCTGTTGTGGTACAAAATAAGTACCCGAAAATTACCAGAAATTTTTTCAATTTCCTTTTTTTATGTTTATGGGAGAAATATTCCTATATTGTGTACAGAGAACCTGCCTCATTCAATAAAAGAACAGTTCCAGAGGTTGCAATTATTTATATCTGTCTGAGGGCAATAACTAAAAAAAATTTCTTGCAAATTGAGAATAAGTGGTCATGATTACAATCTAGTTATATACCTTGAACAAGATAATGACTTTCGATGTTAGGACTGTTCCTTTAAAACATATATGGTACCCAGGGAAGGCACTCTAAAAATGAAGTAACCAACTATAGAGGCAATTTAGAACTTTTCTTTACATTTTCATTGTTCAAAATAATTTTAACACCCATCCATAGTTGCGATTTCAAAGTGCCTTCCCTGGGTCCCATGTATGTTTTTATGGAACCGCCCTTATTTTTAAATGGACTGTATAATGTTTCTTTTTATGTCCCAATTACAACAGTAAAATGGCATTGTGGTTTGTGTATCCGTCAGGTCTATATCTGGTTAAAATTTTAGTTAAAGGTTGTTAGCCATGAGGAACTTTTTAAAATATATGCCAAATTATAGTTCTGACTATAATTTATGGTTAACTGAACATGGAAATGTGATAGTAAAACTATAATAACTGTTTGAGAGGGGCATGTTGTCCAATGGACACATTTTCTTTTGTTGTGTATTACATCATCACATTTGATCATTTTTGTTTTATTTCTAATTTCAGTGGGTACTTACAGGCATAAGAGATTTCCATGAGCATTCCATCAGCCTTGATATATTTGTTGACTATGCAGAAACATTTTTATCATGTGACATTTTAGAAAAGAAATACTTATTTTCTATCCAAATTAAAAGTATTTGTGATATTTGATAGTTTAGTATAATAAAAACTGAACACTTAATAGTATTTAGATTAATATGATATTATATCATGGATAAAACAAGAAGATAATTTTACTTTCAAACAAAAGAAAACATTTTAATTTAAAATAACGACATAAAATATAAAACTTCGCTTCACTTATTGTGATCCTTGTGTGCTTGGAATAGACCATTTTCATATAACAGACTTTCCACTCCAGTGTTTATAATTTTTCAACCGGACGGGTAACTTATTTTGTGGTAGGATTTTCTGGTACTCCATGAGGTAAGAGAAACTAAAAAGTAAATTCACCTTAAAAACATTCTGTTAAAAACTGTTTTCCAATGATTTTGCCGTTTATAAAAAAACATAAAACAGTTAATTTCCCCCCAAAATTGCACTAATTGTAAGCTTGCTTTTACTTCTTTTAGCTCCTCTAACTTGGCCCAGTACCAAAATGTCCTACCACAGAGTAGGTAACCTTGTAAAATTATATATGAAAATAGTCTATTTAGCAAAGCATTTCTGCCTCTGGAGAAGGTAAATTATAGAAAAAATGTTTATGATGTTGAGGACTTGTCTTGATTGTGTAAAGTTAGACTTGCAGAAGGCATACACTTTTTTCAACTGTTGAAGACTGTATGATGACCTCAAAATGTCATATTCAAGTTTTATTGTTGGGCTGCTGTCTCATGATATATAATTACATGTACCATAACTTGAGTTAGCTTGGATTGATTTATTGGAAACTTCACATAATTGTTGAAATTTGTAAATTTAACACACAGTCTGATGTAAAAAATATTCTGATATGTTTTTCTAAGAGTTATGGGACTTTGTGACTGTCAGATAAATGAAAGCATTTATCAAATGTCATGCATTAACTCTGGTATGCTGGGATCAAATTACTTCAAACTGAATACTGTTGTTAGGATTGCTGAATGTAGACTCGTTTTTTGATGTTGAAAATTTTCTGGTTTGTCATTCCAAAGTTGTTGGACTTTTAAGTCATATTTGACACAATATTTAAAATCCTAAGGTATTCTCATGCATGTTTTTATACAGAGCCATTTTATTTGCTTCTGATTAAATAATGCCTTCTAAATATCCCATTTCATTTTAGCAACAATTTCAATCTGCACAAATAGGGTGTAGCATGCATTCTTGGCGCAACTGTTTATTTGTAATTAATATACGGTAATTAAGGGTTGATTTTAAGATTGCTAATATTTGTTGTTTTTTGGTAGTCCTGTGTTTTGAGTTTCTCTAAAATTAGATATGATGCTGTATCTCTTTTTAACTATGACTCAACTTAAAAGTTCACAACATCTGTTATATGTAAATATAAGAAGAATGTGTCTGAGGATACAACTGCCCCCACTCAATCTATCTTATAATACATGAAAATTCTTTTTGAGAGCATTCGATATCACTGCTAGTTTTTAAAGAGTTTTCTTCTTTTTCCTGGTCCTGCATCATAAATAAAATTCCTTCCATGACCTTCCCAGACCTTTTCCCATTTAAACAAATATTCCTTCAAGTACTTGATAACATTCAAACCATCCTACATACTGGAATAATTGAATTTGTTTCTGAAACAAAATTAATGTCTGTTTTGGCAAAGATAGCTTTAGTTGCAGTCTCATTGGATTAACCCAAATATCTTTATTTCATAAGAAAATTTTCCAATTTCCCTATTTGCAGGACTAGAGCCAACAACCTACTTACATTATGTAACATTCTCATGACCTGTCAACCACTTAATTGTCCACTGAACTTATGATCATGTTTTATTTAAAGCCATTTTGTCCCAGGTAAGAGTAGTCTTATTGACACTCTTCCTACATCTTTTTTATAACTACCTGTAATTTCTATGTTATATAGGCACCTAAGTTTTAATATTGTATTTACATTGTGTCATAGATCAAACTTATTCGTTCAGTGTATGGTTACTTGTTTTTGTTTATATGTCTTTTTGATCGAGTTAAGCCACTTCAATTGATATTTTATAGTGTGTCTTTTTATGTTGTAATGTTACACTGCTGTCTCAGGTTAGGGTGAAGGTTAGCACCTGTTAAAACGTTTAAACCTGCTGCATTTTTATGCACCTGTCCTAAGTCAGGAGCCTGTTGTTCAGTGGTTGTCGTTTATTGGTGTGGTTCATAGGTGTTTCTCGTTTCTCATATAGATTAGATCGTTGGTTTTCCTGTTTGAATTGTTTTACACTAGTCATTTTGAGGCCCTTTATAGCTTGCTGTTTGGTGTGAGCCAAGGCTCCGTGTTGAAGGCCGTACTTTGACCTATAATTGTTAACTTTTTATACAACCGCAAAATTTTGCGGTCGTATATTGGTATGGCGTTGTCGTCGTCCGGCGTCGTCATCGTCCAAAGACACATTGGTTTTCGCACTCTAACTTTAGTTTAAGTGAATGGATCTCTATGAAATTTTACCATAAGGTTCAATACCACAAAAGGAAGGTGGGGATTGATTTTGGGGGTTATGGTACCAACAGTTAAGGAATTAGGGGCCAAAAATAAGCATTTTTGTTACTTCCATACATAACTTGTGTGTTAGTGTATGGATATCTCTGACATTGTACCACAAGGTTCCATATCACAAAGGGAATGCTGGGATTGGTTTTGGGGGTAATTGCCTCAAAATTTTAGGAATTAGGGGGCAAAAAACAAGCATTTATCTAGTTTCATGACAATAACTTGTGTGTAAGTGTATGGATCTTTCTGAAATTGTACTACAAGGTTCCATATCACAAAGGGAAAGCTGGAATTTAGTTTGGGGGTAATTGCCCAAAACGTTTAGGAAAAAGGGGCAAAAATAAGCATTTTTCTAGTTTCCAGACAATAACTTGTGTTCAAGTGTATGGATCTCTCTGAAATTGTACTGCAAGGTACCATACCACAAAGGGAAGGCTGGGATTGATTTTGGGGGTAATTGCCTCAAAATTTAGGAATTGGGGGCCAAAAAGGGGCCAAAAACAAGCATTTTTCTAGTTTCAGGACAATAACTTGTTTGTAAGTGTATGGATCTTTCTGAAATTGTACTACAAGGTTCCATATCACAAAGGGAAAGCTGGAATTGAGTTTGGGGGTAATTGCCCAAAACGTTTAGGAAAAAGGGGCCAAAAATAAGCATTTTTCTAGTTTCCAGACAATAACTTGTGTTAAAGTGTATGGATCTCTCTGAAATTGTACTGCAAGGTACCATACCACTAAGGGAATGCTGGGATTGATTTTGAGGGTAATTGCCTCAAAATTTTAGGCATTAGGAACCAAAAAGGGGCAAAAAACAAGCATTTTCTAGTTTCAGGACAATAACTTGTGTGTAAGTGTATGGATCTTTATGAAATTGTACTACAAGATTCCATATCACAAAGGGAAAGCTGGGTTTGAGTTTGGGGGTAAATGCCCTAAACGTTTAGGAATTTGGGGCCAAAAAGGGGCCAAAAAACCAGCATTTTTCTAGTTTCCAGACAATAACTTGTGTTCAAGTGTATGGATCTCTCTGAAATTGTACTGCCAGGTACCATACCACAAAGGGAAGGCTGTTATTGAGATTTGGGGTGATGAATCATAAGGGGGTTCAAAAAATTTGGGGGGGGGGGATTTTTTTTTCCTTTTTTTCCTTTTTTTTTCTTTAAAATTTTCCATTTTAAATTGGTTATTTCTGATTTATATATAAAAGCAAATAATAATGATATGGTTTGAATAGGTAAATTAAAATTTTCTTAGACCACATACATTCTGTGTCAGAAACCTATGCTGTGTCAAATATTTAATCACAATCCAAATTCAGAGCTGTATCAAGCTTGAATGTTGTGTCCATACTTGACCCAACTGTTCAGGGTTTGACCTCTGCGGTCGTATCAAGCTGCGCCCCAGCGGAGCATTTTATTATACATTGTGACAATGGAGTTGTCTCATTGGCACTCATACCACATCTTCTTATTTTTTTGTTTTATTCACTAGCTATTGCCATTTATACAATACTACATTGTATAAGTAAATTGAACCTAATTTTCATGAAAATCCTCAACAATATACTTTGGTTAAGCTTGTTTGTATGCAGACAATAAAGACAAGATATTTTAGGTTGCAGGCATATAATTAGGATCAAGATAGTTATAATCTCCAGGCATGAAAGTCATATAGTCTCTGTCTTTTACACATGTGTCTTTGCTGGGAAGTCTAATTGGCTTCAATCTGTGACTAGAATTGTGCTTCCCTGTTTCAAAGTTGCTGCAATGAAACAAATTAATATATATATAATGTTACAAAAATGATAAACCATAAAACAACTGTGTTTAAACTTCTCATACAGAATTGTAAATCATGAAGTTTAACTGGTTTTCTCGCTGTGTTGAAGACCCATTGGTGGCCTTGGACTGTTTTCTGCTCTTTGGTCGGGTTTGATATCTCTTTGACACATTCCCTGTTTCCATTTTCAATTTTGAAGCCTGACTCAGGGGATTTTTTTCGCTGTGTTGAAGACCCATTGGTGGCCTTGGGCTGTTTTCTGCTCTTTGGTCGAGTTGTTGTCTCTTTGACCCATTTCCTTTCTCAATTTTATTATATGTAGTGATGTAACAATATTGATTATTCACTTTCTATGATATCTTTAAAAATATAATAGACGCTGCACATCTTTAAATACTAAAATTTATTTATTCCAAAAGTACTAGATAACCACAACTAATGAAGCCACAGCTTAAATCGATTCTAAGATATAAATGTGTAATTAAAGAAATTCACAACAAATTGATTTCTTTACAGAAAAAATAAACTAAACCACAGTGAGATAAGAAAGTCTGATTTGGTACAGGCGCTTATATGTAACACTATATGCATTACAGCATATATGTTGACTGCCTTGTTTTTATTTATTGAGTAACCCAATTGAAACATGAACCTGAATTGTACCACTTTAAATATAAATACAATTTAAATAAAATGCTCTGCAGGGCGCAGCTTGATACGACCGCAGAGGTCGAACCCTGAACAGTTGGGGCAAGTATGGACACAACATTCAAGCTTGATACAGCTTTGCATTTGGATTGTGATTAAATATTTGACACAGCATAGGTTTCTGACACAGAATGAATGTGGTCTAAGAACTTAAAAATTTTAAATTGGACATTCACCTATTATGGTCCAATATCCAAAATCTAAATACATGGTTAGATTCAGCATATCAAAGAACCCCAAGAATTCAATTTTTGATGAAATCAAACAAAGTTTAATTTTGGACCCTTTTGACCTCAATGTGGACAAAGTTGATAACGGGGCCCAAAAATCAAAAATCTAAATACATGGTTAGATTCAGCATATCAAAGAACCCCATATATTCAATTTTTGTTGAAATCAAACAAAGTTTAATTTTGGACCCCGATTTGGACCAACTTGAAAACTGGGCCCATAATCAAAAATCTAAATACATGTTTAGATTCAGCATATCAAAGAACCCTAAGAATTCAATTTTTGTTAAAATCAAACTAAGTTTAATTTTGGACCCTTTGGACCTTAATGTAGACCAATTTGAAAACGGAACCAAAAATTAAGAATCTAAATACACGGTTAGATTCGGCATATCAAAGAACCCCAATAATTCAATTTTTGATGAAATCAAACAAAGTTTAATGTTGGACCCTTTGGACCTCAACGTGGACCAATTTAAAAACGGGGCCCAAAATCCAAAAACTAAATACACGGTTAGATTCAGCATATTAAAGAACCCCAAGAATTCAAGAATAAAACCCCATTGAAATTGGTCAAGAAATAAGCAATTTATACGAAGTATCTTCTTTTGCACAATACTGTGCAATTAAATATTTCTTGCTATTGCGCAACACTGTACAATTGACAATTTCTTGCTATTGTCTAATATTGTGCTATTGGATATTTCTTGCTATTGCGCAATACTGTGCAATTGGAGATTTCTTGCTATTGCGCAATACTGTGCAATTGAAGATTTCTTGCTATTGTGCAATACTGTGCAATTGAAAATTTCTTGCTATTGCACAATACTTATTATATAATAATTTACACATCCTGTTTGGTGTGTATCTCCTACCATATCATTATTATTTGCTTTTAAATATAAATCAGAAATAACCAACTTAAAATGGAAAATTTTAAAAGAAAAAAAAAAGGAAAAAAAGAAAAAAAAATGAAAAAAAAAAAAAATCCCCCCCCCCAAATTTTTTTAACCCCCTTATGATTCATCACCCCCAAACTCAACCCCAGCCTTCCCTTTGTGGTATGGTACCTTGCAGTACAATTTCAGAGAGATCCATACACTTGAACACAAGTTATTGTATGGAAACTAGAAAAATGTGTTTTTTGGCCCCTTTTTGGCCCCAAATTCCTAAACATTTAGGGCAATTACCCCCAAACTCAAACCCAGCTTTCCCTTTGTGGTATGGAACCTTGTAGTACAATTTCAGAAAGATCCATACACTTACACACAAGTTATTGTCCTGAAACTAGAAAAATGCTTTTTTTTTGCCCCTTTTTGGCCCCTAATTCCTAAAATTTGAGGCAATTACCCCCATCATCAATCCCAGCCTTCCCTTTGTGGTATGGTACCTTACAGTACAATTTCAGAGAGATCCATACACTTGAACACAAGTTATTGTCTGGAAACTAGAAAAATGCTTATTTTTAGCCCCTTTTTGGCCCCCAATCCCTAAACGTTTCCGCAATTACCCCCAAACTCAATTCCAGCTTTCCCTTTGTGATATGGAACCTTGTAGTACAATTTCAGAAAGATCCATACACTTACACACAAGTTATTGTCATGAAACTAGAAAAATGCTTGTTTTTTGCCCCTTTTTTTGGCCCCTAATTCCTAAAATTTTGAGGCAATTACCCCCAAAATCAATCCCAGCATTCCTTTTGTGATATGGAACCTTGTGGTACAATGTCAGAGAGATCCATACACTTACACACAAGTTATTGTCTGGAAGTTACAAAAATTCGTAAGTGTTCCGCGGAACCCAGTGTCTCGCCTACTTTTTCTGTTAATCGCAGGCTCAACAAAAATGAGGAAGTAAATCAATAAAAATATTCCTCTTGATACTATCTTTTGATTGTAAGAACTTTCTGTCCAAGTTTGGTAAAAATCCAGGATAGTTTATGAATCTAATAAATGTTTAAAAACTTTATCTGCAGACTGAATGTAATGTTAACTTGAAGAAAACAAAATTTCCTTCTAGATACTAGCATTTGATCATAAACAAGCTTCTGTTAAAGTTTGGTGCAAATCCAAAATAGTATAAGAAAGTTATTAAAATTTACAAAACTTTAACCACAGAGTGAATGTGTTGTTTCCTGACAGGAAATCTAAGTCCATTTAAAGGTAAAATACGGAAAAAATGGATTTATTATTTTACAAAATTTCCTTCTAGATACTAGCTTTTGATCATAAACAAGCTTCTGTCCAAGTTTGGTACAAATCCAAAATAGTATAAGAAAGTTATTAAAATTTTAAAAACTTTAACCACAGAGTGAATGTGTTGTTTCCTGGCAGAAAATCTAAGTCCATTTAAAAGTAAAATACGGAAAAAATGGATTTATTATTTTACAAAATTTCCTTCTGGATACTATCGTATGATCATAAACAAGCTTCTGTCCAAGTTTGGTAGAAACCCAGGATAGTTTAAGAAAGTTATTAAAATTTTAAAAACTTTAACCACAGAGTGAATGTAATATTTCCCGGCAGAAAAACTAAGTCCATTTATAAGTAAAATACGGAAAAAATGGAATTTTATTTTTACAAAATTTACTTCTGGATACTATCTTATGATCATAAACAAGCTTCTGTCCAAGTTTGGTAGAAATCCAAGGTAGTTTAAGAAAGTTATTAAAATTTCAAAAACTTTAACCACAGAGTGAATATTTGTGGACGCCGCCGCCGACGACGACGACGACGACGCCGACGGAATGTAGGATCGCTATGTCTCGCTTTTTCGACTAAAGTCGAAGGCTCGACAAAAATGCTTATTGTTGGCCCCTTTTTGGCCCCTAATTCCTTTACTGTTGGTACCATAACCCCCAAAATCAATCCCAACCTTCCTTTTGTGGTATTGAACCTTGTGGTAAAATTTCATAGAGATCCATTCACTTAAACTAAAGTTAGAGTGCGAAAACCAATGTGTCTTCGGACGACGCCGGACGACGCCAGATGACGACGACGACGACGCCAACGTCATACCAATATACGACCACAAAAATTTTTTGCGGTCGTATAAAAATTATCTATTGCTCATTTATCTAGTAAAGCTCTCACCTGTAGAAAAAAACTCATTTTCAAAAAAAAAAAATGTTTTGCTTGCTAGCCCCATTTTGTTAAAGTGTCTGAAGAACTTAATATCAAATGGCTGTGGCCTTAGTACTACAAGTTCTTAAGACGAGAGTGCACACGCTGAAATGTCTCGCCTTCTTTACTAACCATTGATATTATGTTGATAGTCCTAAATATAAAGCTTTACTACAACTATCACATAAACTTATAATGATCCAAGAAAATGATGTCAAGGTCATATAAACCAAACGAGAAATACATGTACACCTTACAATCATTCAACAGTCAAGGGTCTAACTTAAATAAGTTACTAGAGAAAATAACATACATTTGTTATTGAGGGCTAAAAAATCAAAAATCTGTGATAAGCTATGTATGTTACATGTTTCAAAGGGGCATTATACATCCTTTATTTTGTTAAATCGTGTACTAGTTCTATTGATATTATAATTGTCTTTATGTATATTAAACTTTAGAAAGATATAACAGCCCATAGTTTGCCAATCATGCATAACACACCCATGTTATTACAGAAAAAGTATGCCTGTAATAACTAAAGGGTATTATTACAGCTTCTCTACATCTCTTCAAAGCCTTTTCTCCTACATATATCACAATGTATTTTAATTTATTGTAATAAATAATGATAAGAGCATGTAATGAGGTTCTGCGCAAGCTTCCTAGTCATTCCCAAGTGTCTCATGTAATAAGTTAAATGCCTGTAATAACTAAGCATTGTTATTACAGCTAAGTTCTTACTTAAAAGCCTTGTCTCATTGATTTACCATGGTTGATCAAAAATGTATTAATTGAATTGGAAAATTCGTTCTCAAGGTTATGTATTAAGTTACTGCGTAAGTTTCAAGAATTCCCAAGTGCCCACTGAAAATAAAAAATTTGATGGTACATTTAACTGATAACAAACATATGTTACTACAGATTAAGAGAAAGTATCCATAATAACACATGTATGTTATTTTTCTCTAATAACTTATTCAAGTTACACCCTTGACTGTTCAATACACTAAATATAGTTGACTTATTGCTTATAGTTTCTAAGAAACAGACTTAACCAAGAAAACTAAACATTGACCAATGAACCATGAAAATTAGTTCAAGGTCAGATGAACCATGCCAGGCAGACATGTACAGCTTACAATCCTTCCATACAACAAATATAGTTGACCTATTACTTATAGTTTAAGAAAAACAACCAAAACACAAAAACTTAACACTAAGCAATGAACCGTGAAAATGAGGTCAAGGTCAAATAAAACCTGCAAGACTGACATGTACATCATAAAATATTTCCATACACCAAATATAGTTGACCTATTGCATACAGTATAAGAAAAACAGACCAAAACACAAAACCTTAACTATAACCACTGAACCATGAAAATGAGGTCAAGGTCAGATGACACATGCCAGTTGGACATGTACACCTTACAATTCTTCCATACACCAAATATACTAGACCTATTGCTCATAGTATCCAAGATATGGACTTGTCCACCAAAACTTAACCTTGTTCACTGATCCATGAAATGAGGTCGAGGTCAAATGAAAACTGTCGGACGGGCATGAGGATCTTGCAAGGTACGCACATACCAAATATAGTTATCCTATTACTCATAATAAGAGAGAAATTAACATTACAAAAAATCTTATGTTTTTTTTTCAAGTAGTCATTGAACCATGAAAATGAGGTCAAGGACAATAGACATGTGACAGACGGAAACTTCGTAACATAAGGCATCTATATACAAATATAATCAATGCTGTTCATTGACATTTAAACACAACTATTTTCACTACATTTATAAGTGGTTACCTGTCGACACAATCCTCACAGAAATCAACCTCCTCTCCTACAGGACAATCAAGGCAATGCCATCTGGTATCTGGTATTGGTTCAACTTCACATTTGTCACACTAAAAGAATAAAGGAAAGAATCTAGCTAATCTGGCTAAAACAATATTTCTTGTTATCTAATTACAGAGCATACAAAAATAAGGTGGTGAATTTTAACAATATGTTGAATGATTCATCCTTAAATATTTCTGCATATATCAAAGGTAGTATATATGTATGACAGAATTCAAATCAGAGTATTATCACGTTCAATGAATCAACAGAATTCACCATTTTGCAGTGAATCACTCAAAAAGGGATTTTCAATGTCACTCAATATTCAGTTTGTTGTCATATTGAACAATTGTTGAGAAATTAAAGTAAACATAATGTAGAGATTTTGGAATTGTCCAACCAATTGGTTCAATAAATACCAGATGAAAGGGAAATGATATATCCTGTTTACAAGAAAAATCAATGACAGATTTAAACAATGACTGCATGAGTGTTTTTGTCCTTGGACATTAATATGCAAAATAATCTGATATTTACTATTTTAAAAACAAACCACTGCATCTTCAAAATCCTGCATTGCCTCATTTAAATTATTAAGTTAACTTTTACTACATTCCTAAAAGGTATTTACAGCAATCATTTTATGAAAATGCAGTTAGTATCAAAAGTCTTCAGACATGGGAACTAATTTTTTTCCTCAACAAAGTTGAGAAGTTAACATCTGAGTTTCAGACCTGTTGACAAAGAAAAATTTGGTGCAATCTTTCCCAAAAATTATTTTCTACTTTCGAAATGTATACAGTAATAATAAACGGTTTGAGTACACATACTTTAAACCCTTCATGAAAACACTGTAAAGATTGTAGCTTCTGTTTCTTTAATCTTTTCAGTTTCATCAACTCTTCATAGTCCTCACTATCTCGTAGTTCTACTGGTATAGATTCATCATCCTTAAATACAAATATAATTCTGATGCACCACTGCTTTTAATCTTCATTTTGATTAAGTAACACCATAAATTTCAGGGCATCAATTCTATGATCAAAGGATTTAGAATAGTTTGTGCAACCACAGACAATTCTAAAATGTATGATGTACCAGTAAAGGAATCTTCTTTCACTTGCATTAGAATTGACATGATTGAGATAAGGGAATTGTATATGAGAATTAGCAGGCATAATTTTTTTGTTTGATGTTCTCTAATAAAAGTTTACTGGCTCTACTGATAAGATAAATGTTAACTGCCCTATTATCAGTAAATCACAGAAAAATAAAAAAAAAAAAAAAAATCTTGCTTTGGATACTTTCTTTTCATCATAATAAATCTTTTGTCCAAGCTTCATAAAATTCTATGAAGATATGACAAAGTTATTGACTAAAACTAAAACTAAAACCACAGACTGAACGAAAAGGTTAATGCAGACAATGACTTCAGAATAAAGGATTGCTAAATCTCTTATCTGGAACAAAAATTATGGTAGGTAGAGAAACCAATACAAAAGTATTTTTCATAAGTTTTCCTTAACTTATGACCTAGTGTATATAAACACATAATACTTAATCTTCATATTTTACGTATACATACTGATATAAATTCATATTCCTCTGCCATGCTCCCTTGAGAATCTTCAGTATCTCTGCCAAAACTATGGTAACTTTGTGATTCGTCATCATCAGACATGTATACTGGTGGCTGATGGGATTGGAGAAATGTTGATGGCTGATAATAAAACTTGTGGTACCTGTGATGTCTGTGACCTTGCTGAAAATAAATGAATAACACAAATTAATAATGATCATGATGATGATATGTCTTCAATGATCTTTTCTATTTTCTTTTAAAGAATTTACCAAGCTATTGTAAATAAATATACTTTGATTTAAAGAGCAGCACTTCAATGTCTTATATTTTATCAACTCAAATTATTTTGTTCTTACTTTTTCATAAATATTATACAAGAAATGCAAGGTCCCTAACAATGTAATTTCCCATATAATTTCTATTTCCAAGGGGCATAACTTCTGTATATAAAAAGTTGATCTGTGCTGATTATCAAACTCTTCATAGACCTTGCAAAGGAAAATGTTTGATATAAATTTTATAAAAATCTGACAAAAATATGTAGGAAGAGTGTTATAACAGCAATTTTCAAAATAAATTATATTTTTTAAAAAGGGACTTAAAATTCCTGTAAAAATAGTTGAGTGACACTGATTTTCATTTGAACTTGTCCAAGACATTACTGTTATAAACTAAATCAAAGCATCGTCGATGTTGTGATCCAGCCATATTCATAGCTAGTCTCATATTCTTTCTGACCATACTTTTTTCTAAATTTTTTTTATCTTTTCATTCCAATCTTACTGTAAAATTTCTATGTTATTGTCCAAAGGTAGGGAATTTCGCAATATTGATATAAATATAAATATATATACTGATCTTTCAATTTTAGACTCTGTCAGATTTTATTTTTGACAAGAATGGAAAGGAAAATCGTAAAACAAGTAATATATTTTCTATATGCCATTAATAATGACAAGTTTAATCATTTCCAGAAAGAGGCCTTATAAATGCACTTTCTCAAGAACAAAAATTTTAAAAAAATAATAAGTTCATTCTGTATTAAGAAAAAATACATTTCCTGTATTCAAATCTGAATTTACAAATACCTAATGCTGAGATATTTCCAATTACTGTTAAATAGCTATAGCAATATAATGGGTTATAAATGTAAAACAAACAAATAAATTTTATTGCAGAAAATGCTCAGGTAAGAGTTATGAAATTTTGTTTAATATTTCAACCAAATTTCTGACAATTGTAACTAATTAATTAGAACTTGATTATTGACTGAGCTTCTGTCAGATGATAATGGCACTGTTTTATTATACATATTTTTTTCATTTTAAATATTTTCTTTGAAAAAAAACCACATCAGATTAATCATTCAGCTAGCTAGCAAAATTAACAGAATATTTTAATGTAGTGTAGATCAAAATAAATAATACATTTGTAGGTTTACTATTGAGGTCAAGAATGTGTGTATTCAGTTAGGTGTGTAATAAATTGTGTCTATTTAATTAAGTAACAGGTCATGAGATATTAACTGTTTTGAATTAAGCCTGGGGTTGTTTCTAATTAATACTTATTTGAAAATCATGACAGTTAATGATCATTCTGACTCTTACTTGCCTATGGAAAGAATTGGAGTAATACCATTTCAAAAAAGTGTGGGAATCAACTTAGATATATTAATACACATGTTGACCTAGGCTACATTTCATTGAACAATAATTTACACAAGCACAAGATACTCATATAATACTTTCAAAATTCTTATCAACTGATTCAATTGATGTACAAATACTTTTTCAAATTAATTCATAAATAGTAAATCATCATAAATTTTGATTTAGAAAGGAACTATATGCAAGTATATCTAAAATAAAGTCACTATTCAACCAATCTTTTCTTAATTTAAGGGCAAATAACATGTCAAAAGTTTGTAGTTGATGATTAAAATGGTATAGAAAGTTTCTGCAAGTCATAAAACTAGTATACATATTTGTTTAGGGGCCAGCTGAAGGACGCCTCCGGGTGCGGGAGTTTCTCGCTGCATTGAAGACCCATTGGTGGCCTTCGGCTGTTGTCTGATCTATGGTCGGGTTGTTGTCTCTTTGACACATTCCCCATTTCCATTGTCAATTTTATAAAAACACATAATTAGTTTCATGATATGTCATCAACTTAGTATTCTGCACCATCTCCAAAACCAGAGTGATTGCATAGATCCAGCATGGCTGAATCAAAAATGAAAGGCTAACTTGAAAGCCCTCACAATGCAATCTTCCATATAATTCATATTCCCAAGGTTGACAGGGTCAACAAAAATCAGATGAAAGATATATTATCGGTCTTTCCAAAGTATGGAACCTTACCAGCAGTGGTCTTTTGCCTATAATTGCTTACATCCACTTCATTTGAACTTTATTGGATAGTTGTCTCATTGGCAATCATACCACATCTCCTTATTTTTATATTGGTATTGATGGAAGATTTTTTTATATTCTCTGTTACTCTAACAGGCTCCAGATGATTTAGAGCTTTTAATATTGTATAGATGTCTTATTGTTGACGACCTTATGTTGACCTCAAGACTTAGTTGGGTTACTGTTTCATTGATATATATATCTAACATCTTATTGCAATCTTTTTTCTAATCATTTGATGTTAGATAAACACGATTTCTTATTTCAAATCTAAAAACACTATCATTTGCAGATATATATCTTGAGAAATTTTTTTTTTCCAAACTGCAACTTTGTAAAGAAAAGTTTCCATATATTTTTATTTGATTTCATTTAGAATTTTGACACCATTCCAAGCTCACACTCACATCTATATCTTATAAATAGAGATACACATATCCAACTATACATATTTATAATAACTTACCTTTTTAATACCTAAGTTGCCAACATTAGGCATCCTGCCAGGTATAGGCAGCCCAGCCTTTGCTAATTTTATGAAATACTTCTGTACACGACTAGCCACCTAACAGAGAAAAACACACAAGAGACATTTCAATATACATTATACTAAATAAATGGGGAATGTGTCCATGGGACACCGATGATGCCCCCCCTTGCATATAACGTTATAAAGGGACATAACTCAAGACCTGTACTTGATCTAAGTTTTGTGGTAATAAGCATTGTTTATAAGTTTCATAACATTTAGTCGAGGCAAACTTTAGTTAGAGAACGGAAACAAATATTTCAGCAATTTTTCCATTTGTAAAGGGGCATAACTCTAGAACGGTAAAAGTGACGCCACAAAAAATGGAACTTGATCTGCGTTTTGTGGTAATTAGCATTGTGCATAAGTTTCATAACATTTGGTTGAGGCAAACTAAAGTTAGAGAACAGAAACGAATATTTCAGCAATTTTTCCATTTGTAAAGGGGAATAACTCCAGAACAGTAAAAGGGACGCCACCAAAATTCAAACTTGATCTGTGTTTTGTGGTAATAAGCATTGTGTATAAGTTTCATAACATTTGGTTGAGGCAAACTAAATTTAGAGAACGGAAATGAAAAATTCAGCAATTCTTCCATTTGTAAAGGGGAATAACTCTAGAACGGTAACAGTGATGCCACCAAAATTCAAACTTGATCTGTGTTTTGTGAAAATAAGCAAAGTGTAAAAGTTTCATAACATTTGGTTGAGGCAAACTAAATTTAGAGAACGGAAATGAAAAATTCAGCAATTCTTCCATTTGTAAAGGGGAATAACTCTAGAACGGTAACAGTGATGCCACCAAAATTCAAACTTGATCTGTGTTTTGTGAAAATAAGCAAAGTGTAAAAGTTTCATAACATTTGGTTGAGGCAAACTAAAGTTATAGAAAGGAAACCAACTTTTGGACGTACAGATGGACGTACAGATGGACAAGGGTAAATCTTAATGCCCCCTCCACTACAACGGGGGCATAAAAATCACTATAAGCCTACTCACTGTACATAAAAAGTGACATATGGATAAAATTTATACATGTATGTAAGGCAAACCTAGTTGTCTTTCTTCTTACCGATAATTACTTGAATAAGAAATGTATTGTATAGGTAACATATTAGCTTAGACTTATCAACTTGTATTTGAAATATCAGATGATAATGATGATGTAGTCAATCATTTCCAAGCTCTTTAAGGACCCTATTGGTGTTTGTTTCTTCATACTATCTTGATGATCAAGGAATAGTCAACTTTTTGGAGAGAAAACTTTTTATTTTGAGTTGCTGTCTCACTGGCATACATCCCACATCTACCTTTTCATATTTATAAAACAGAATATAAGTAATTGATGAGTTCAAAAATTATGGTGTCTTGAATAATTCCAGTACAAACATGAAAGATTAATCCTTTCTTCACAGAACATGCAGAAGTTTGCAAGATTAATATTTCAATCAAAGTGCTTGAAAGCACTGAAGGGTAAAGATTGCTTTTATCTATCAGTGGGAAGTAAAATTAAACATTGCATTGTAAAAACATTGGTTGCAGTTGATTCAACTACAATAATATATGGAAAAAGGAAGATAACTCCAATTTTAAAGATTACTTTAACAATGACATCACTGATATTTTTAGAACAGATATTAGATAACTGCACCTTGCACAAGTTATGTAATTTTCTTGACAAGTATAAAATCATTTTTTAACTTGAATATCTTAGCATATATTTCACTAATAATATTTCTGGAAATGTTCATGGATAGGATGTTTAGAATGTTATGATCAATGCACTATATTTTGTGTATCTCAAAAGTAGTGATAAATCTTGGAAGATTTAAATATCAAGTCAGTACAATGTACCATAGGGTATTGATTGCATTTCATGTAATCTTTACCCAAAAATTGTTGATCAGACTTGCTTCTATACCTTTTTGGAAGTTTTATTACCTAAACATGTCAAAAGCAATAACATGCACTGTTCATTTAAAATATCACAGTCATCATCAGTGGCCAATTTTATACATATCTGCTGTCAAAACTGTCTTTTCATTTCATAGAGACTAATAATTCTTACTTGCTGAGGTGTTCTGTTTCCTATAGCTGTTGCAATCTTCTGCCATCTTTTAGCCTCCACATCTTCAGGAGGGTAGGTTATCAGCAAATCTTCTAACCTAAGGAAAATACAACATTTTGTACAATTCATTAATAAAAACAAGAATACACCAATAAAATGAACATTATCAGTAAACATCATTAAACACTGATTACAAGGGAAGCCATGCATTTTATATACATTTTTACCAGACTGAACTTGACCCTCCTATGTAGCTATATATAGATTGGTTTATATATTTATGCTGTGTTTGATACATAATCATTTTGGAAATTTTATAAAATTATGCTTACTTTTCCTTATACTAAATTGTAGGTTCAAAAAAAAATTAAGAAAATTTATTACACTACAACAATTCATAATTTCATAATACCTTTTCTGTTCTTCTATAGACCAAAGCTGGTTAAATGTGGCTGATTTGCCCTCTTCTTTTATACGACCCCTCACTAAACTTGACTGACCATCAAATGTCTGTAAGTTAGCATTGATGGGTTTCTGTTCATTTTCTGTTGAAGCTGAAAATTGTATATTCCTGATCAAGTTAGGAGGGTTGAGTGCTGACAAATGTGTTTACATTTTTTATGTGCCTGTCTTAGAGTCAAGAGCTTGTAATTCAGTGGTTGTTGTTGGTTGCAATCAGCTATATTTGTTTAAGCATACATAAGGCTGTTGGTTTTCTTTTGAATTGTTTCCCATTTTGTCAAGCTGGGGCCTTTTAAAGCTTACTATAGAGTATGGATTTTGCTCACTGTTAAAAGCTGTACATTGACCTACAGCAGTGTATCCCAAACTCTGCCTGACCGACAAAATATCATTCGGTCAGACAGAACTTTTAAGATTTTTTAGTTCAGTATATACATGATATACATGAAGTAGAAAAGTTCAAATTTCTTTTTCGGTCAGACAACCCCTAAAACAGTTTGGCACAGACTGCCTACAGTTGTTAACATTCTCGCTCTTTGGTCTCTGCTGGACAATTATTTCATTGGCAATCATACCAAATCTCGATATTTTATCTATATGTATTTTCTGGTATTTTTGTGTTGTTGGTTTGCTGTCTCATTTTTTATGGATACCCTGTAACTCCTTTTCTATTTTTATTCAATATCTACATGGATATAACAAAACTTTTATTTAGTATCTAGAATAGAGGAAAATGTTTTTTTCATTGAAATATCTGTATTATTTGCTATAATTTTTATGTCATACTTTTACACTACAGATGTTTATTCATCTAACTGAGATCTTTAAACTTCAATTTAATCAAAAAAATTTGTAGAGAGTGGACAAATAACCACACATACCAGCCTATCGCATGATCAGTTTACCTAGTCATGCTTTAAATTTCAGAGTGAGGCTAATATAATTAGGTCACCTCTCTTATGTATTAAAATATTCTAAATTGCTTTGAACATGTTGAAGAATGCATGTGTAAAGATAAGGAGATGTGGTATGACAAGGATGTAAACAACTGCAGGTCACCTATTTACATGTAAGTTAAGAATGGAACTCATCATCATGATCATGCTCATACTGTGGATTCATTATAATTCGTGGGATATCAATTTTAGTGGCTATCTTATGTATACTATACATAATAGGTGAACCACGAATTGAAATGTTAAACAAAGTAGGCTTGTCTGCAGACTTAAGTAAAACCACAAAATCAAATATCCACGAAAATACAATGTTTTCTAATTCCACAAAAATTGGTACACACAAAAATAAATGAATCCAAAATAATTCTTAGTTTGAGGAACTGTCTGCCTACCTGCACCATTAACAAGCTGTTTTTTTAACCTTGTCAGATGTTTTGGGATCCCTAGTGATGTAAAGTCAACAGTACTGGTGTACTTTTCCCAATTTATCATTGGTAATTCTGCAATTCTCTGTTGTTTTGGTAAGTTTAAGTCTTCCCCTCTTTGTAGCTTGTCCACAAAACCTATAGGATCTTCTAACGCATCATCTCGACATTTATAAAGTCTATCTAAATCAGAAATAGCCTGAATTCTCTGAGCTTCCAATAGCGCTATAGTTCTCAGCATGGCATGATAGTCTGCATTTCCTTTTAAAGCAACATGATCAGATTCAAAGTAGTATGTGTCAATTTCTTCATCTATTTCAACTTTGACCTTACTGATATCCATTTCCATTGGTTGGTTTTCACCATCTGTTGACTCCATATTGGTTTTCATCAACCTGTACATGTATAAAAAAAATTTCTTACCGAAAAAAATACACAATAGATTTTCTGGAGTGTTTTGAATTATTCAGTTGCTGTCTTATTGAGGTATATTATACATTTTATACATACTGCTGATGTTCCAAGGGTGAATACAACTAGGTATGAATTACATTCTATGAGGGACACTGCTTCTAAATTGTGGAATGACCTACCAAATGATACAAGGAGCGCTACTACTTTAAACCAGTTTAACATGTTTAAGGGACTTACTGATAAGTGGGCAGGGGAGCAAAGGGTATGTACTTTTTGTACTTGTTCCTTTTGTTCATTGATCTATGTCTTCCAACAACTCTGGAGCAGCATGTCTGACAAGTAAACATTTATCTTTTTTTCTAGTTCTTATGCTTGATTTGCTTAGTAAAATCTAAATGCAGACTAGTTTAACTTTGTATATTTATACTTATGGTGCCAAATATATTTAAATTTGAAATTTCCTTGTTATGGGACCATGAACAGGACTCAAACACGTCATTGACAGTTTTTGACACATGGACTCTTGTCCGGATCATTTTTAGGCCAAAAAAAATATATGTTTGTTTACGGTTACCAGACCGACCCTAATTTGAGCGCCAATCCCAAGCCATTTTATTTTTGTCGCAAAGAGAAAAAATTAACTGAACTTGTGTCAAAAGTGAAGTTGGAGATGCCAATAAATTCAATCAATTGCCTGATACATTCCAATGTTCACAATTGTGAATATGACAGCTCTTTTAAGGAAACTTGTGTAAACTCTACCCATGGACAACTCAAACCATGGCAATACAGACTGCAAGACTCAAAATCATGATGCAAAAAATAAAATGGAAATACCGACCTTTTATGATGTAACCTTAAACAGACATATATTTTTTCTTGGCCTTACAGAATTTTACATAGTTAATTTTATTATGAATGTGTCCTACTAGTGCTTTCATTTTATATTGCCTTTCAGGTTCATCATAAATATCATAACCTTTTGGCTTATATGGCCGTATTTACACCACAAATTTTACTCTTGAGTCATTTTTTTTTTTTCATTTCTGCAGAAGGAGCCAAAATAAACTAAGTTGGGAAAGAGGTTTGAGAAGCTCCCCTCATATAATAAATGTTGTGAGTAGTATTATTATGGACAATAGTCATCTGCAAACAATAGGTGATTTAAACTGTCATGACTGTGTAACTGAGTGGACCATATCAAATGAAACTCATGTGTTTGTTTATTTTGCTATCTTCTACAGACTGGAAAAAAATGCACATCAAAATCCAGGTAAGTTTTTAATTTTCTGAATCATAGACTACATACATTTGTATACATGTAACTTTTATATATCTAGGTCCTGTCATGCCTTAAAACTACAATGTATCCTAGATGCATCAGTTTGTCTGGACTCATAGTAGATTTTGTGGTGTAAACACAGCCATATCTTTCAATTCTTTTTAATGAACCTTAATATTCTGCAGTATATATATGAGATTAATTGATACCTGTGCTTATCACAAACCAGTGTCTATTAGTATTTAGCTTTGTTAATTTAAGTTTTAATTCTGCTATTATTGCTTTGCTAGGCATGTGTATGTGTTGATAAAAGTTAGACATATGTATCATTTTTGTATGTGTTCTTGCATGTTTGTAATGTCAGTTTAGTATGACATTTTAAAAGCTATAAAGAGCCTATGTTTTACCATATTGTATGCTGTATAACGACTTTAAATTTGATTTAATTTGAAAGTAACAGATTATATCCCATTTTCCAGGCTTTTGTCAGGTCAGGAATAACCACCAGTTGGTGGATTATACCTCAATTGACGTATAATCCACCAATTGACATATATTGGTATAGACCAATTGACGTATAATGCAAGTTTTTTTGTTATAAAATGCTAGTGTGAGATAGGAGCATCATTTTGCAACTTACAACCTATTTTATGACCATTATTGAGTCCTCTGAAAGTTTCAGTTTTGTCAAAGCCTGCTGCATCTCTTGAGAATGCATGTGTACAACAATTCTTTTGTTGAAACATCTGTACTATTGACCATGATTAACTTTTAATAATGAAAGTAAAGTATTAACAAAGAGCTTCATTCACCTGTGGAGTTGTACTCATAATCACATGACAGTATTGATCATTGATGTCCATTGACAGGTGATAAGGGATAAATTTGCCAATCAAGAATTGACAATTTATTTCTTTACAGTGCAAGGGAAACAACTGCAGTCTAAACGGCCGACACCAAATAATTTGGTAGATATATATTATTTACCTTTTTTAGCTTTTTCATTTCTAAATATTGGCTTTTTAATAGTTGTAACAGAGCTGGAAGGTATCATTTATCAGTTTATGATTTCTAAATATTAGAAATATAACCCCGTTGAATTTGACAATATGCACTAAAACTTTTACGAAAGTTTTTTTTTTAAAGTAGTACACTAAATCAAGTACTACCAAGATAGCACTCTCTGGTATCTATACTGTACATAACTGCAAAACATGAACACTTACAATTTATTACACACAAAAATGTCAAAACAATACATTAATCTTATAGATCCTAATTATACATACACGGTAATACTATATATATTTTTTCTTCTAGAACGTAAGTTTAAGAATCTTTTATAATATAAGTGAAGGTGCTATCTTTAGTCAAATTCAATATACAGAGAATCACAATTTACCAAGGACGTATGAGCCGCGGTATAATTGTATTAATGTATATACCATGTACGGGAATATGTCAGACCCCTTCTAGGATTTGCATATTTGGAAAAGTCAGATATGTCTATCCAAGAGTATTTGATACTTACAGTTCTCATGTATAAACAACAAACACACCTACTTACCAAATCATTTAATATTTATAAACAAAGCAGGCTAAGTTACAAATAACAGAATAATAAGCTCACAAAAATTTTTCTTCTCACTATAAATTAACCACAAGATAATTAAGATAATTAAAATACACACCATAGTTCAGATTTAAATATCAAGATTAAATTTAAGGAAAAAAAAAAAAACTCATAATTTACTATAATATGAATATATAATACAGGTTAATTCCTAAATAATAATAAATTTTAAAACATTTATTTGAAATGTTTTTATATAAGGTAATCTGGCGCAATACCCGCAAGGGTAGTCGCCATTAAACTCTATTTAGTAGTAGACAAGATAACAATAGAAGAAACTGCAAATACAATTATTGATTAAATGCAATATGTTATGTCACTATACTAAACTAGGAATGTTTGACATGTTTTCATACAATAATATGGTTTTAAGAAAACAATGCTCCATTTTGGTTGAATAATTCGCTTTGAAAAACAAAGAATTATACGTCAATTGGTCTATACCATTATATGTCAATTGGTGGATTATACGTCAATTGAGGTATAATCCACCAATTGGTGGGTATTCCTGACGGGTACAAGTCAAATCGGCACCTGGTAAAATCGGCACCTAAAGAAAAAGTTAAATCGGCACCTGGTTAAATGGGCATCCGGTCAAATCGGCACCTATTTATAGTCAAATCAGCATTTAGGTGGTCAAATCGGCATCTTATAATATTTGATTTAATATAAATAATTATTAATATGACTTGTATAAATGATCTTTCAATTTCTAATTATGTTTAACAAAATTTAGGTGGGATTTATTTTATTCATTAAATTGTTGAAAATCATCACATGTTAATTATTTAGCAGTTAGAATACATAAGTTAATATGTTTGAAGTTTTCTCAACATTCTATGACTGATGTTTTGATTAGTTTTCTTTTCAAATAATTAAATAATAACTTTTATCAATTAAATAATTAACATGTTTGTTGTTTTAACTCTAAACAGGTAGTTATTGATGTTTTTTCCTCCAAAACTTAAAATAAAAAAACAATGAAGCCATTACCCAAGCTGTTATCAAATCATGAGAAAATTAGAACCAATAAAAGGGAAAACTATGACCCCCCCCTTTTCAACAAAAAAAAAACATATTAATATCCACAAAGATGTTTTAAAGTCAATATTTGTAGATAACACCTTCATTTTAATGAAAAAAAATAGACATATTCCACATAATTTACATGGGTGCCGAAATGACTACATTAGGTGCCGATTTAACCAGGTGCCGATTTGACTATACCAGGTGCCGATTTGACTAGAATTCATACCGGACTTGTTTGTTGATTTTTCCCGTTACCCTTTCGCTTAGGCTATGTCCATCGGTGCAATTATACTGTAATGTAAATAAATTTACTTTGATAACAATTAAGAAACTTTAAAATACAATGTCCACCACTTAATCGCGAAATCCAATTGTATGAGGGTTCTTATTTGCAAATTAGCTACCTTATTTCACTGGAGGCGTCCATATTGAAATCTCCCGGATGATGATAAATATGACTAAGGGAAAGATTTCAAGCGATACTATTGTGACGATTTTGGTTTCTAATATGAACCGAGAATGTACTACAAAGATACTGAATATTCAATTTAATGGACCTTCAGCAAAGAGGTCTACTAGACCTAGGTGAAGTAGTAGAAAGGGAAAGTAAATTGCTGTATAAAAGTAACACTTGCAAATTTCTTTGCGAAAAAACACATCTAAAGAAAGTAACCGACCATCTGGACAAATGGCAGAATGTTGCTGAGAGAGATATTGAGTATATCGGGTTTTTTTTAATTTTTGAATGATTTTACTTGAACTTCTGTCAGTGGCGGATCCAGAGAGGGGGCGTAGAGGGCGTACGCCCCCCCCCCCTTTTGCTTGCACTTTTTTTTTTTGTAAAATGGTTAATCAGACTAGACTTCGCGAACTTTGCCATTTCCCGTGTATTTAATTTTTATGCGACAATTCTTTACTTATAAAGATATTTTTCGCTCGTATTTACTGTAATATATTATTGATTATGTCAAAGTCTTGCATGTGATTCGCTACGGTGGAGTTGACCAGTACGTCGAAAAAAACGTCACTCAGTCATTTTGAAATTCAAATTACAGTAACAGTTACACATTGCTAAGGCTGAGGATGACAAGCATGACGCCTTCAAAGCGACAAAGTATTGAGCAAGACTTCTCTTTCACAATTCCACCCAACAGAAAGTAATACTCTATTACACTCTCATAAAAAAAAATGTTCCACAGCAATATTATTTACCTACGAAAACATGTTTAACCCCACACGCTCCAGCCTATTAATAGCATAGCTGAATAGTGTTCCCCAATCAGTACGCTCTAGATATAGATTTAAAGTCTAAGGTACGGCCCATTTGATTTGAGGGGGCAATCTGAGATATTTTAGAGAAAAAATTCTGACCCTGATTTTTGCCTTAAACAAAAATTCTGGCCGTATCTGGATTGAAAACAATAATCTTGTCTACTTTTTTGCTATTAGAAAAAAATATTTTCAACAAAATTATTTAGCATTAAATGAATATGATGAATCCCATATCTGACCGGAATGTCTGTCACAAAGTTTCGCCGAACTGATGATACTGAATACTTTTTTCAAGGCCCGACTGCAACCTGCCTGCTGGGTGTGGCCTATATGTCTCCATGTGTCGACCGTCATTCACAACTTCATTGTCATTTCCGACTCATTCGTAGCCTTTGGTTGATTTGGAACCCCTCACTTCCCTTGTTGGTTGAAACATTTCAACCAAACATTTGGATAAAAATTGCTTGTTTGTCTTTCTTCGTGTCGGTCGTATTGTAAATTTCATTGAATAGCCGTATATCTTGTTTACAACAAGAAATCTGTGAGGTTATGCTAACTAACCATACAACAAACGAAAATTTTCCAAGTCCATTTTTACTGACAAATCCAACATCAAATATATTAATTAGTACATAGCTTTGGATCCATCCAATCATTTTATAATAGACAATTAATGGAGAGAATACGGCACCAAAAATGTCCAAACCCTACACTTTAACTATAAAATGCATTTTACACTTATTTTATGTTTTTTAGCCAAAAAAAGGTCCAAAAAATTTTTCGCCTCGCTCCGCTCGGCAAACTTTATTACTACGCCCCCTTTCCAAAATCCTGGATCCGCTACGCTCTGTATTTAAAAATATTCACATTTTAATATACAGGAAACCCTTGAGTAAAAATTGGGTCACCAAACTTGTTTTGTTTAGTTTTTTTTTGCTACCGTGATAACAAACTACATAAATTTACTGTACATTCTGTTATAAAATAAATTATTTGAGTTATCTCCCCTTATAGAGGAAATAAAAATAAAAATAATTTGATTAATTAAGAATAAAAAGCATTTGTAAAAAAAGTTACCATGATAGAATTATATCAGATTTATCATTTGATTTCTTTGTTAAATTTCATCATTTTTTCATAGACGACAGGAGCAAACAGCACGAAAACAGCTAGATTACTATGAAAAGGAAAAGGATAAATATAAAATACATGTATCTGAATACGAGGTAAGCTAATTTCAGTAATGTAGCAGTAATGTACATCTTAAACCCGGAATTCAGGAAATTTAAGGAGGGTAACAATAATCTTATGAGCCCAGGTAAGACAATGCTAATAGTCTTACATGCACAGCTTACAGCTATTTACTTGTAAAAATAATATTATAAATTATATACCTACTAAAATGAGAAGTTCAGTTTGTAAGTACACAGTTTTCATCTCGCAAGAGGACCTATAGAACAAATGAGAATTTATTTTAACCCCATTACCCTCCTTCTCTGCACAATCACAGCATAAAGTAAACTAAAGAAAATCAACTTTTTATCACCAGACGGTTCTTAGAAACAAAACTATGGCGGGTTGGGTTAGGAGAAACTACTTACTTCAACCAGGCATATAATTTTTTGAAATTGATTAGTGAATCCTATAAGAAAAAGCTGTTATCCTTTTAACGTGACGTAATCTCTGGTCAAAGTTTCACAAACTTTGAAATAGGCTGGGCGGGTTGGGTTTCCTGATTGTTGATGGCCATACGGTGACCTATATTATTTAGTTGCTAACCTTCTACGTCTTTTTGGTCTCTGGTGGAGAGTTGTTTTATTGGCAATCGTATCACATCTTCTTATTTTTAAATAGATTTGATATAATGTCACCATGTACACATTTTGATCTAATGCCATGGAGACAAACACGTCATTCGAAGCGTAAGAATAAAATTCAAGTCTTGAAAATTTATCCGGGTCGACATATAATCCGAGTGTTTCATGAACAAAAGGTTGGACCATTTTATTACTGCAATCAGTTTCTATTCGCAATTTTAGTTAACACAGTTATCCGATAACCGAGAAAAAAATCTTTTTTTTAAATTTACTTATAATGCTACACGTGTACTAGTACGCTAATAGCATATTAATATACGTGCAGCATTAGAAGAAAGGTAAAAGTAACCAATGACTTGGTTTGTCTTACCAAATAATATGAAACAAGGAGACGATTGCAAATAAGACAACTATCCAATCCAACAGAGACCAAATGACGTGGATTTCAGCAACTATAGGGCACCGCTTCAGTAATGAGCAAACCCAATATCATATAGCCCGCTTTAAAAGTTCCCGACAGGCTCCTGAAGTGGACAGGCACATGCAGAATGTTTATGAAGGCCCGACTCTCCACTAACCTAGGATAATGGTGTAACAGCACAACATAAGAGTAGAGTGTTAAAATCAGTTGGAAACGGCTTGACATCATATTTGCACAAAGCACAAAAAAACTAACAAAAACACAAAAACACAAAGTATCAATCTAAGAATGCTCGCTGTTACTGAAACTAGTTCAAAGCCAATTACAACTTCCAACGGATAATATCATAGACGTCAAACAGTTTGAGTAAAGTATGACCTTGTTCAATGCAAACAGTTTTTAAGAATTTTACAAATCAGCCAAACTTCAAACCAAATCTTTGTATCTATGAAAGAACTTAGTAACAGTTTTTTTTTCATGGTAACGAAATCCTTTACTTAATGATTAAGCAGTTATACATAGATTACGCTGATTGAAATCTTAAACATTGCTCTAGACATGGGCATGGCGAACGAGTTTAGAAATATACTCACGATAAGACGGGACAGAAACAACATCACCTTCCAAAAAAGGACAAAAGTAATAATAAGGAACGAAATAATAGTCTCTTTTTTCTCAATTTTTTTTATTTGATTTTCGTATGTGAAACTGAAATATCCAGGTCTAGAAAAGGACAATTATTGTTGTTAATATCAGATCTATCACAGGTAAGTTCCCTTGTGTAAATTTTTTGAGTATAATTTGAGAATTCTAAATTATTTAAATAAAGTATATCATCAAGTTAACAGTAAGTTATTACATTTATTTATTAACTGGAATTTAAACGGCTGTTTACTGAGTTTGGCTATAAACTGTGATTCATAAAAAAACAATAGCAATAGAAATAAGAAGATGTAGTATGACTCTCCATCGAAGTCACAATGTGTAAAAAGTAAACAATTATACGTCAAAGTACGGCTTTCAATACGGAGCCTTGGCTCACACCGAACAGCAAGCTATAAAGGGCCCCAAAATGACTAGTTCAAAACAATTCAAACAGGAAAACCAACGGTCCAATCTATATAAAAAAAACGAGAAACGAGAAACACTTAAAAACCATATGAACAAACGACAACCACTGAACAACAGGTCCCTGACTTAGGACAGGTGCAAACAAATTAAGGGGGCGTAATTGGTGCCCATAGTAACAACTACAAAAATATAAGTAAAATGTAAGTCTCTTGACGAAAAAACTATGCTATATATATTATACCTTACGATAACAGACCAAAGCCGAACAAATTCCTAGATAATTACTATTCACATGCTTTTCATATTTATGGGTTCATCTTTTTCAAGTTTACTATTTATATTTGGATTGAAATAACAGTCTCTCACGAATCCCTGTCCTCTCTTCCTTTATTTGTCGTTTTTATCTCTCCTCTTTGTTTTTTTTGGGGGGGGGGGGACTAGGTGCTAGGCTGTAACTTTGCAGGGAAAGAACAGCCACAATTCATAAGCTTACTTTTTTTCTGGCTGTATGATTCCAAAGGATCTGGATGAGGTTTACAGATGTTAATGGGCAATATCTACAGAAAAATGGGGGGAAATAATAACGAATAGAGAAATGTAAGACAAAAAGATAAAGAATAGAGAATAATGGGTGTTCAAATATAAAGAATAGAGAATAATGAGGTGTTCAAATATAAAGAATAGAGAATAATGGGGTGTTCAAATATAAAGAATAGAGAATAATGGACAAGAATACAAAGAATAGAGAATAATGGGTAAAAATATAAATAGAGAATTATGGACAATAATATAAAGAATAGAGAATAATGGGCAAAAATATAAAGAATGGAGAAAAATTGCCTAAAAAATTAAAGAATACAGAAACGAAAGACCCCCATCCAAACCTTCATTCAAGGGAGTAAGTATTTTTGGATTGATATTCGCTTTCTTTTGTGTGTACAATTTTATTTCGCTAGAAATTTAAAAGTTTCTATCCTTTGAGAATAGGTGAAAATATATTTACATTTGTGAGTCAGTCTATTACATGTATTTTTTAAGAGCTGTCATTTTCCTCGATGGGTAGAAGAGAGATCTTGAATGCATTTTTAGAGTCAAAGCATAAAATCAAACAACTAATATGAAACCTTTATATATTATCAGGATGACACAGATTCGAGAGGACATGGCAGTGGGATGAGCGCAGTAGTACCGACTCAAAAAGGGTAGTTAAAAAAATATTTCCAAACAAACAGTTGAAAACTATATATTTTGACAGATAAGTTGGAAATCGTACAAATTAAACATTTAGATGCTATTGAAATTCGATTACGTATGTTTTCTCGTAAACAACCTTTCACGACATTCTAGACTTTGCTATCTCCTAGTATTTGTAAGTGTATAGTTAAGCAGTAATTTTTATACAATTTTTAGGACGATAACATGCAGATTTGATATCACGTAAAACCATCCTTAACACACAACGTGATATTTATGTATTTAAAAATTACTGAATATAGGAGATGGTATATTCAAGCTACATGGTGAATCAGCAAATAATTTTTAAAACATCAAATACAATGGCTTACAAATGGTATTATTTCACAGTACAAATAAAAAATTAGAACTGCATTTTGTAGAAATAAGAAGTATATGCGTTAAGAAAAAATGAAATAAACGGTACAAATTAAAAAAAAACAATATTTTGTGTCTCGATTATACTTCGGCATAGGTTATTTCAGACACATGGACCATGCACATTGAAACTAGGACCAACTACTTACTCGCTACTACCAATGATGTTATAATATACAGCCTCTGAATGTGGACGGTTAGTCCAAAAGTTAAGAAGCCACCCTTTTCCCACTAGCTAGCCATTGCTTTGCATAGCCATGATTCGAGTAATACTATTTGTTACTAGTAGTATATATGGAGAAATTAGTATTCGATTGTTCTAAAACTAAGGTTGCAACCTCATCAGGCAATTATGACACTAGTTTTGGCTGTTCAAGATATTTCTAGTTTTTTTATGCCACAAACACGAGCGTTCTGGATAAAGGCTTGCCGTACACACCACTGGTAAACGAATAGATTAAATGTGTCATGAGCATGTATACTTGTAATTACATTTTCAAAATGATTGAGATAAAATCATTAAACAGACTCGTCTTAGACTATATATATATATATATAGCTCTTTAAAGGTCCATCGTTCGCATCTATCTGTCTGCATCAACATATTGATGTACATGCGTAGAAGCATGCACCGTAACCGAAACAAGTTATCATTCTGATTGATTGTCCTAATCATTGTTCTCCAATGAATTTCTCCCTGCCCCGCACTGCCTCGGGGTACTTAAAGATGTGTTTTGTTCGATCATACAAACCCTTAAAACAACACAACGTTCTAAATAGTGATACAACATAACTCGACTCTGACTCGGTGGATATCTTACCTGTATTGCAAAATTTGACTGTAAAAATCTTTCTGTCATTAACTAAACAAATGTCTTTAACAGGACTTAAGTTTACAATAATGCTGTATGATTACTATAACAAACATTTCATTATCTATTATACAGTTTCCACGCTCGCCCAAAATCAGGAGATCGGACACCAGGTCCACGATCAGGTCGGCGCGCCGAGACTGGTGCCGGTAGCCCAAGGAGTTTATTTGAACTTAGAAAAGCAACCTCTACAGCATTAGAACTTGACAAGGAGCCTTCCGCTACCAATCTAGAAAAAAGTACGATAAGAAAAACGTGTCTTGATTTAAAAAAAACAACACAAAAACTTACCCAAACAATTATTAGATCTACAAGATGGAATTAACCTGCATGTATTTTAATTACCAAAAATCACTTCAAACTTTTCAGAAAATGAATTATAAAACGAAAACCGTTATATTTCATTTTTTGTTTGATTTAGGTTGGGTTATTATTTGCTTTTGTTGGATTATCATATTTTTTGTTGGTTTTACGTTTTTTTATATAGAGAAGCTACTTTGAATAAAGAAACTTTTCTCTGTTAAATCCAAAATATTTTTGTATTTTATTGAAACTTGGTATATAATTGTATAATATTATTAATTGTAGAAATTAAAATGGACAAGATTAAGTAATTTGCAGCGTTTTCAATAATGGCAAATAACTCAACTAAGATATGATTTAGAAAATGGTTGGGCGAAATGAAAAAGATACACATAACTGTGCACATTTATTCCAGTTAAAATTGGGACTTATCGAGTCACGTGACTCTGATTGTCGCTGTTATCATGGTAAAACTTGTCATCAAATATTTTTTTCCATGTATACAGAAAAAAAGCAAGAGAAGCTTAAAGCAGAGAAAGTTGCCGTTAAATGCAGTACATTCTTGAAGGCGGGTTTGTATCGATTATATCTTATAATATATAATTGTATCTGACTAAATTAACGATGAACATGCCAATCACATTCAAAACTACTAACATTTTGATTCAACTGCAGTAGATCAAAAGAACAAACACATATTTAGGCCTATTTTATGTTTATACAACGCATTTGGTAACATACACAATTTGGCAGTATCAAATTTCTCTCCACTCTTTACTTGGCTGTTGGTGTACTATACCAACGATGCCCGCTCTTTGTGGTTTGTTTGAATTTTTTCTCCTGTTCCTGATTTTGATGGCACTTTCTTTTTTTGCTGGTCTTAAAATTTCTCATTTTTAATTTACTTAAGGTAGATAGGGTGTCTAAATTATAATCCATAGAATTTTTTAATAATTTGCCAAAATGTAGTTTATATCATGCTTTTTTTAAAAAAATAATAAAAAGAATGGGTCACGGGCCTTATTTTCACGCTACAGGTTGTGCAAAATTGACAGATTTTGTATAGATTATGCATGGAAAACCCAATTTTCTACCATAAACTACACCATAGAATTTTGAGATAAAATATGAGAAGATAGCTCTAATAGTATGCTTTCAGATAAGAAAAAGAAAAAATGGGGTCACCGGACCCGTTTTCTTGCTACATAATAAAATAGATAAATTCTTAACACATTCTATTGTAAAAGTAACTTAATGTGAATTATCTGCCCTTACATTTGAGTTGCCTCCCCTTATGTGACAAAGTTGGAAAATATAGAATCAAACAAAAGTATTCTGTTTTTTAGTAAAATACAACCATAAATATGATAAAATATGTCATTTTCTATATTGAATTGAAAATTCTCACACATGAATTACCTACTACTCTCAAAATTTGCACCTTTTATTATAGATCAAGACCGATTTTTTTCTGGTATTTCACAATCCAAGATGGAGGAAGACACCCTATCTACCTTAAGCTCTATTTATTTTTATCTTTTATTATTTAATCTACCAATTATTCTTCACCAATTTAACTGTTCATTTACTCTTTATCAAATTATTATTCATTTTATTTTTATTCTTGTTTTTACAATATTTATGTTATGTTTTTGTCTCTCAAAATTATATTAATTATTATAAGGTTAAAATAAAAAAAAACATGGCCAACCGTGCGAGACCTTCATGGGTAGTCAAGATCGTTAACCCCCCCCCCCCTTTTAGTAGTAGTTGCAGTAGATCAAAAGAACAAAAATGACGACACAGGTTTAACGTCTTATTAGCAAACTATACATCGCATTGAGGCTGATACAATGCATATGAACCTGCTTGATACACATATTTTATCGTCTTACTCAACTCAAAAGGTAACAAGAGTAAAATGATGCTTTATAAATAAGAAGATGTGGTATGAGTGCCATGAGACAACTCTCCATCCAAGTCACAATGTATAAAAAGTTAACAATTATAGGTCACAGTACGGCCTTCAACACGGAGCCTTGGCCCACACCGATCAGCAAGCTATAAAGGGCCTTTGTTTTAAGCTTATTGGCTATTGCTGAAAAAAACTAGGCGGTTGTTTTACCGAGAGTCATACATTTCTTTGGTTGGAATATCTGCCACAACATGTAACAATCAATGGTATAAGCAACAAAGACGTTTGATTGTTTAGTCTTGAATATGCATGAAATATCTGCCACCATTTTTTAAGCGAATCACAATAAAGATATGTGCGATAACTAGGCACTTTGTTAGGCAGAAGACGGTGTGCACAATAAAGAAGCAACGTCACAAACGAAAAACACATCCGTTAAATATTTATTTTGACTGACAGACATATTGTGACCAAGTACTTCAAAATATATTTTCTTATTCAAAGTCTCGTCAATTTCAGACGATTTGAGAGCTGGTCGACAAAGAAGAAAATCATTACCTTCAAGTAAGTAATTAGCGAACTTTAAAACATGAAAAGTGCATGTAAAATGTTACTTTTGAAAAAAAAATTAAGGTGGTTCAACATTGAACATTCGTGGATGTGTTGCTTATGAAAGTATCATTGTCATTTTGGTTCGTGTAATATATTCATTTTGATCCTCGATACGGTTGAAATTATTATTCGTTCATCGTGAAATTGTCTGTGTAATGACTATTTGAATTGTTTCACATTTTGTCATGCCGGGGCCTTTTATATTTTACTATACGGCATGTGTTTTGCTCATTATTGAAGGTCGTACAGTGATCGGCCTTTGTACATCCTTGTCCTTCGGTCACTGATGGATAGTTGTTTCATAGGGTCATACCAAATGTCCTTATTTTTATATAGCTAGTACATATAATTATTACGCAAAGAAAGCTAAATTTTAAAGAAGACGTACAAAATGTACTATAGTTATAAATAATAAAACGTTAGTCCTCGCTGGAAAACTAATTCAAACTATGCATTGCACTACGATCTAGTAAGTCCGAGTGATCTCTTTGATACCCTTTTACTTTTTTTAATCACAAATTAAAAAAATAAATGTTGCGAAGGAAGACTAGTATTCTTTTTATTTTTTTTTTAATTTTTGGTAAACTAAAGTCTCAGGTCAAAAGTGTATTACCTATTGGAAATCCCCCTATTATTTCAAAGCGTTTCTACGCAAAGTTTTATTTATTACACAATTCTATCTAATAAGAAATGTGAGTACTCACACAACTCTACCAGAGCACTGTTCATTGTTTAAGGCCCGGCATATGGTGACCTAGCCTATAGTTACTACCATGCACGTCATTTTGGATTCTGGTTGATAGTTGTGTCATTGGCTCTTATACCACATCTCCTTGCCTTGTGGCCATAAAACTTTGGAGTACGATTATCGAACTCAGACTCAGAATTAAACCAATCAAAATGCTGGATTTGGTGTTTCGAGCACAAATTTTGTACTCCTATGGAGTAAAGTTTATGACCGAGTCTGTAATATATCTGCTGTCTTGTCGTGTGTTATAACGTCTATTTATAATACCATATATTGATTGAACTACCGTTTAATCACTCAATTTTGTTTACAGACGTTTCCGGTATTCCATTACTTCTGGTAACGGACGAGTCCGGCGTTTCAGATATGGCTCTCACACATGAAACACCCGAGAAAAAGGGACACGAGAAAAGTGTGGTTGCTAAAGGGAATGCCTCAGGGAAATCAAGCGCTGTTCCGTCTACTGAGGAAGAAGCTAATTTTTATACAATGGCAATGTCATCTGCGAGTAATCGGGACGAATTCCATGCAATCACCGACACAAGATCACGCAGACGGGGGTCACAGGTATATTTCCGAATGTTTACGTTAGTAGATATAAGAAGATGGGGTATGAGTGCCAATGAGACAACTCTCCATCCAAGTCAAAATGTATATAAGTAAACCATTATAGGTCAAAGTACGGTCTTCATCACGGAGCCTCGGCTCACACCGAACAGCAAGCTATAAAGGGCCCCAAAAATTACTAGTGTAAAACCATTCAAACGGGAAAACAAACGGTCTAATCTATATAAAAAAGGAGAAACGAGAAACACTTATGAAACACATCAACAAACGACAACTACTGAACATCAGATTCCTGACTTAGGACAGGTGCAAACAATTGCAGTGGGTTTAAACGTTTTAACGGTACCAAACCTTCACCCTAATCTGAAACAATAGTGTAACATCACAATAGTGAATGAATGTTAGTGAATGTTTTGGTAACGTTTCAAAGTAAAAGTATAGACATTTTATTAGAGATTTACAATAACTGTATAGGAGTCCGAGTACGAGTACAACTACAAATCATACATGTAAGCTATAGGGGTGATATCAAAATAATGTGTTTGCTAATTAATTTTTTCGTGTTCAATCTTTGTGTGGTGATAGGACAAAACCATTTATCAAATTACTTGACTTTTTTTACTGAAAGTTTTCGTTTAAGTTCGTTCAGAATTTAAAAACTTTCACAACAAAAAGTTATTGCTCCAGTTATAAGATAATTTTTATCGTTTACATTAAAATAAAAAAAACTCTCTTCAGGTTTAAAAAATGGTCGTTTCATAACTGACGAATTACTCAGAAGGGAATTGGATAATACTATTGTTCAGTTTTCCTTAATTTTATGTTTTGTTTGGGGGGCTATTTGATTCCACTGTTTGTAGTCTTGGAGAATAGAATAAACATTTTCAATTGAATGATTGTTTATTGTACCAAATCTTTTGGGTTAGGAATATCTTTTTTTAGCTGAGAGTGAATTGTGAACTCCTGTCCGCATTGATTTTGATGTGAATAAAAGAAAAGAGTTCCAATGTCCCCCGCGTTGCACATTATATAAATAACACATAGCTGAGAGGGTGGTAGAGCAGATTGTTACCCCGAGAAAACAATGTCAACTGAGTCGAATCCAAGGTTGACAATGTCTTTTCGAGGGCTAACAATTAATCTGCTCTATCACCCTCTCAGCTATGTGTTATTTAATTTATTATACTGAATGTTCTGTTATTACTGTCTATTAAATTTCAAATTCAAAGTAATAAACTATGTCGTCTTGTACATAACAATCATCCTTATTTATTAAAGCGCACACTTGAGCAAGCGTCTCCGTGAAAGGTAATAGAGTATTTGCCATGGGATAGAGTAAATTGTCTCCCTCGTATTAACCAATCAAAATCTGGCATTTTGACATGAAGTATAATAAATTTAATCTGTCCAAGGGCAATACGAAATTTTATAAATACCTGCAATTTGCTATAGAATTTATATTTCCTCTTTTAAAAATAGTTGATCAACACTAATACATTTTTTAATCAGCTGATATGAAAATCGTCCTTATCTTGTTTGCACGTTTTTACCACAGAACATTTATATAGTGTAATACCTTTTTGTTCAGTTATTACTTGCGATTGGTATCTTTACATTCAACGACGAAATATGCCTTTTAAAAGGGACAAAACAATATAATAATTATATATATATCAGTATGATTACAAGCTTCATAATAATATATCGTTAAATTTGTCTTTAATTTGCATACTATTTATGTAATTAGTAACGTATTTACAATGGGTCAATTATTTTTATGGGTCTCGTTGTAACTGCATGCCAAAAAGTTTACGTAAACCTATCGTTTCCATGCATCCTAAAACAACTAAGGACAACACCGAATAGAGTAATTGCAATGAAAGCAATTACAAGAGAGCGTCTTAAGGGAAAATATAATTTGGAAACATTGAAAGAGGAAAATATAGATTCCACCACTGCATCAAGTGTCTTACGATATTTCTCCACTCGAGACAGTTAAATTTTAATATTTAAAGCGCGAGGCTTGTCGAGCTTTTTAAATCATTAAAATTTAACTGTTGAGAGCGGAGACATATCGTAATACACGAGTTATAGTGGTGGAATCTGTTTCTCTAATGATTTTTAGACGATATCTAAACAAAGTTTATCCTTCCTTTTCAAAGATATGCAGAAAGTTGTGTCCTTTACATGTGACGTCATCAGGCATGGTCGCCTTTTTTTCATGACGTCACAATAGGAATTTCAGAAGAAACCAAGAAAATGTGACGTCATAATTAAATTTCGACCAATCATTTGCCGAGAACAAAGTTTTCTCTAGATATGAGAAATAATTTTTCACACTGATCGAGAAATGTGAAAAAAAGCATGAAAATTAGAGAAACAATTATTCGAACCATGTAACCGAAATAAGTATCTGGATTCTGAAAACATGTTGTCATTTGGAATACGAATTTGGACTAAAAGTAAAACGGGTAACTATGCTAGTTTGAACCTATTTATTGTAATTACAGCAATCAACTACACCTTCCGGTGGTAAGCATTATATCGACTTGGCAAGATTAAAAGAGGTGGAGGAATTACTTTATGAAACCAGTCAATTTAGGAGGTAAGTGAAACCTTTATATAACATGATCGTCATTTAGAAATGTTTAGGGTTGACGTAATTTGTGAATCAAACTGAACTGAGATAGAATTGATCGAGATTAGTTGTTAATTTGTTGACCATATTATTCAAACCCTTAGTAAGTCATTGCCATTCAGAAATATATCCAACATCGACCCGTTATCTGATATTGCTACTCATATTATATGCATAAAGATTTTCTTGTCTCACACAATCAAAAGTTAGGTTATCTTTGGAATCTTTTATATTACACGTTGCTTCACTGTACTTCGCCAGAATGAATAAAGCGCAAGTACCGATTATAATAGAAAAGAAAGGATATGGGGTATCCATCCATGACACAAAATCAGTACATGCACAGAAAAAACACAAAAAGAAAAGGAACAGAGCTCTTATTACTGTTCTTCATGTCAAAGTCACAGTGAGCCTTCAAGGTGGAGCACAAACTATTACCTCAATACACGTTAAAGACGGCCCCTAGCACCAGTTTGAGAGAAATTATTTGCAAACTGACGATCACGCCACGAACAAAGCGATATGTATGTCCGATCGATAAATGACAGTTGTGCTTCTATAGTTTCATATGATAAAAAGATATGAACCTTACAAGCAGAATTATCTTAATTGTGATGCTTTATGTAAAAAATACGATGTACTTCACGAATTGTTAAAATATAAAGATTGGAAATATTATCAGAAAGTTTCAATCGGTTTGTTTTGGGTACAAGTGGATACTGAACTCAGCAGTCAACTTACAATATATTAAATTCACATAAATCAAGTAGCTGTCACTGCTAAACAAAATTCAAAAGTAGCCCTTGGAAGTTATTTAAGTCGCCAAATGCTTTATACGACTTGTAGCATACACAAAAGAAAAACTTTAACAGAATCAAATATAACGTACGAATGAAAACTGAATGAATAGTCTACGTTTACTTTCCCACATTAAGAAAGTCAACATTACATGTTTCATGGACAGTAAATCATAAGGTTAATATTCATCAAAGATATGAATTTCATAATTTAGTGCTTAAACATTTTTCTGCTTAAACAAATGAATATACCAAACACTTTTTACAAACCGCTTGTGGCTTCCAATAGTAGGTCAACAATAACGAATGGCATATCAAAACATATACGAATAAGAACGTAAAAAATAATAGCCATTTTAAGAAATCTTGGAAGTGGTTATTAGGGTTCCGCATCGAGGATCCCTGTAGAGTTCCTATTGTCCGTCCGTCCGTTCTTTTTGTTTAAAAATCACAAATTTTAAGAAACATCTTTTTGTGCTAGAATTTCAATGACAACTGATTCTTTGGTATAACATTCTACTTCCAATTGATTCCTGTTGTTTGTTTTCTGTGAAAATTTGTGGGAACAAGCGGTTAAAAGTTAGTTTTTTTATCACGAATTTTGAGAAACTTCTATCAATGCTAGGATTGCAATGAAAATTGATGTATTAGTATTATATGCTATTGAAAATTGATCCCAGTGTCTGCGTCCGTTCGTTCGTTCGTCTGTGCGTTTGTCCGTCCGTCCGTCTGTCCCGCTTCAGGTTTAAGTTTTTGGTCAAGGTTGTTTTTGATGAAGTTGAAGTCCAATCAACTTGAAACTTAGTACACATGTTCCCTATGATATGATCTTTCTAATTTTAATGTCAAATTAGAGTTCCAATTTCACGGTCCACTGAACATAGAAAATAATAGTGCGAGTGGGGCATCCGTGTACTATGGACAAATTCTTGTTTGTTAATAAGTTTGAGAAACATCTTTTTGTGTTATGATTTCAATGAAAATTCGTATATTGATTCCCTGTATCAAAAATTATCATTCGATCACCATTTTTGAAATGGCTGCCATAATACATAAAAAAAATCATAGTCAGCTCAAATTTAATTTAAAAAAATGATTTTTACTTAGGACCTATCCCGGCTGGAATTTATTCCTGGTGTCAAGATTAACTTGAAACCCTATTGAATGTATTTCTTTCTTTGTATCAGTTCATATGCCTCACACCAAAATGTACAAGCGCGGCCCTTTCAAATTGATAACCAACTCTCAATAGTACCACTTTCATGTTATAATTAAGACGCTAAATAAATTACTACTTTCGATTGGCTTCTGACCAATGAAAAATAGCCACCAACGAAAAGCAACCGTTATAATTCTGTTTGGTTTTTTATTAATAATGGAAGTTTATTGATATTCCTGGGCAGTTTGATATGATAACATTCTTATACTTCAAACATTTTACACTAGAAAATTGGTTTTGTAAATTTATACTTTTATATTTTTCTATCCTTAAATTCATTTAGAAAACAGAAATGCTCCACACCTGATTGTCATACTGCACGTGTTCAAATGCGTCGTCTTGACAGGCTAAAAGAAATTCTCGATTCGCTAAAGAAGAAACCAGAGGCGCCAACATTCAAACCGATGGAAATGTTAAACTGTAGCTACCTTCGCCTTTCAAAATCAAACGTGGAGGAGTTAGAGGATATGGTTCGTGCGGCGGGTCAGGATCCCGGATTACATTACCATAGTGATTTATCAGGATACGATCTGTTTGCTGATCTCAAAAGAGAGGCTGAAGCCCAACAAAGATTGCGTACTCAAGATGGTTCTTCAAAACTCACACCTACACCCTCACCTACTACCAGTAGAAGACACTCCGTAAAGTCAGGTTCTTCTCTCAGAACAGAACACCATTAAATATATTAAATAAATAAACCGGTCATCAAATTGCTGTCTGCCTACTACAGGAATAACACACACAACTAAGAAGCTTTGGATAATAATAAAAAAAAACCTGATGTATCTTTTTATTGAATTATCATAACGCAGCATACACAATGATTTTAGAAAGAAACTGGTATTCGATCTGTCAACGACATTAAGTGTGGATGATTAACATAAGATAATTGTCGTTCTATTTTATACGTAAACATGCAATGATTGTTATTTCTTGAAATAAAATTGCTTTATTTATTAGAGCTACGTGCGCACAGTATTCTTGGGTCGTTTTATTATAATCTGTTATGAAATTTGGTAGCAAAGGACAAGGTAACGTAAGGGCTACACGAATATCACCTTTCATAGGTTAATATTCATTGGTACAGTTCTTTCCCTTTACTTTGTGTGAAAATTATGTATTTGTTGTAATTTTTCGTATGAAAAATCAAACTAAAGCTATCCTTCCACAAATGCTTAAAAATCTGTGATACATGTGTTTATCCTTCTATTTGGTATGTCACATAATGCTATTGGTGTGTTTTATTAAACCTTAGTATGAGTAGATCATAAATATAAAATCAAGGCTTATTCAACCGAATCGTTAGCACGACATAACTTGAAGGAAGATATACTAAAACAATGTTATTTTCTTTTTAATTGAATAAAAGGATATATAAGGTATCCATCTATGACACAAAATCAGGCCTTCAACAACTTTTTCCTCTCAGCGTTCTCAAGGAAGATTGTCCCGAAATGCACACGAACGCATCAAAATTTGCCGAAATTCAAAATGAAAACAAAATAACATTATCATTTGCATTTCCATCGTTAAATATGTTGAACATTAGTCAATCACAACTTTTAGAATTCGTTATATTCTATGAAGGCGGATTGGTACAATGTAATTTTGATTGACTAATAGTTGAATTGAATTGATAATGGAAAAAATAATCCACAGACTATGTAAATACTCAATTTCGTTTTCTGTTCTATCTTTTAAGGAAAAGATTACTTAAGTTGTATTTGGCAAACACTTTCGGAATGTTTTACCCTTAAAGCTCTTCAACTTCGTACTTTATTTGGCCTATTAATTTCTTTTGATTCGCGCGTCACTGATGAGTAATAATATGCTGTAGACGAAACCATTGATGAGTCTGCTGTAGACGAAACCACTGATGAGTTTGTTGTAGACGAAACCACTAGACGAAACCACTGATGAGTCTGTTGTAGACGAAACCACTGATGAATCTGTTGTAGACGAAACGCGGGTCTGGCGTACAAAATTATGAGCCTAGTATCTTTAATTGATTGATTGATTGATTGGTGTTTAACGCCACTTTCAGAACTATTGTGCTATTTCGTGGCGGTCAGTTTTTATTGAGAGGAAGCCGGATAATATCATTGATGAGTTTTTTTTAATGTAGTTATGAGATTTTAACATCGGTAAACTACTGAAGACTCTATAGCTATAAATCAGATCAAATAAACAAAATATTAATGTAAATTCCAAAACAAGAATGATATAGCAGCTGATATTAACAAAATACTAATACAAATGCCGAAAAAATATTGCCAGTATTCACATCTAAAGACAGCTATACTCATTGCTTTAATACAAGAATACGATAATTTAATCAATCTTCAATGAATTTGCCGTTCAGCTAACATAGCTTTGCTGAACAACTTTCGTATACAATTATTTTTTTAAAATAAGTCTTCTAGCAACAAGAAGTTTTCGGGAATTAAACTTAAATTGTCAAAGAAAAATACTTCCGTCCTCGATTACATTTTAAAATATATGTCTTGTACAATTTAAATCATCATGAATACAAGATTTTCCATAATGCAACATTTTTCTTGGAATATGCGAATCTTGTCGACGAATAGAATACCTTACACACACAAAAAAACCGAACTTATTGACATCGATATAATTTACTGAATAAAATAGTACTCTATAGTTTTGATATGCAACATGACATGTTGATAAAATTTGAAAATACTAGATTCTTTACAGTATCATTAAAAGTAATTACATTCATTCCAATGCTTTTTTCTTCTAAATGTTGATAAAAAAAGATTTACACAAATGCATTAATCTTTAGTAAAGAATGTTATTAATTATTATATATGGTTCCATATTGTTAGAATTAATTTTCTTCATAACTAGCACTTAATCAACATAGATTAAACAAGGAGAAAGAAATTAGTGAACTGACTTTCCATCAAACAACAGAAGAAGGAAAGTTTCCTATTATTTATCATGAGCGGAAACATTCAAGATGTATTTGATATATAGATTGTAATGACCAATGTAGATGGTCAACAGCATTTTGCACTTGGTCTGGTCAAAACACTTCATTTGTTTGTTTTTTCATCTTTCATATTTATTATGATACTATATATTTTTATGAAAGGGACATACTTACATTTTCTTTTTATTATCTTCCCTCTGTCATTATGACAGTAGTTTATAGTGCACATGTGTTTCAATTTTAGGGACACCCCACGTGCAAAGATAATTTTATGTGTACCATGTTTTAAGTGTTCGCGTGCCTACGTGTAATTATTTGACAATTAAGTACCTTGTACCATATAATTTCGTTTGTTCATAAATATTTATAGGTTGATGTTGATACTGTTAAAATAATAATAAATAATAATAAAATAATAAATGATATTTCTTGACATACACGGCAACATCAAAGTTAGAAGTTTTTAATGTTATGGTGACATCTTTTGTTATAAGTATACAGTGAAGTTGTTCTTACTTCACATTCTGTTTCTTATCAGAACTAATTATTGCAAATTCTTAAGGTTAATATTTCTGTCAAAATTTAATGAAAGCTCTCATTTCTCCTTCACACTATTTATGAAAACTAGAATAAAGTTACACACACAATTAAATGCCCGACAAAATACTGTTTAACTATCTATTCACTAGACAAGTGGAACCATGGACACTCAAAATTGAGTACTTGTTCTTCGAACTTTTATATACAAAACTTGGAGCGAGCAAAGGAACTTTTATTTTTTTCTAATTCAAAACATGAATATTATAGCGAGCGATACTCGAAATAGGCGAGAAAGGCGTATTTCAAATTTAGTCTTCAAAACTTTTGTTTTCAGGAGCGAGTAACTATTTTTCTGACACAAAACAAAAATAAATGTTATTTTCGTGATCTTTTGGGCGAACGATGACATTTTAAAAAACAAATTGATGATTTTATTTAGTTGGAGGGATAATTCATAAAGAAATCAAGGAAATAAGGAGCGGGCGAATCCGAAGAACTTTAAATCAATTTCCAGTGACCTCAAGATCGATATTTGCACAGTGTTTTAAATTCTGTGTTTCTGTTTTGTACACACCCAACCATATAAAGGTACATTGAGTTAGAGATTATTTCATGGTTTCTTCTATACAAAGAGAGATGACAATTTTAAAATCCTTGCTCGAAACTTTTTTTATTCGAGTGCCACGGATGAGTCTAATGTAGACGAAGCGCGCGTCTGGCGTAACAAATTACAAGCCTATCTTTGATGATTTATTTTTCGAAACATTTCAACACTTGTCCCGTTGATTGATAGCGTTTGATTTTATCATTTTGTATGGACTTCTCCTTTTTGAATTTGCCTTGGAGTTCGGTAGTTTTTTTATATATTTTTTTACATATATACTGATTCTAATTAAGAAATATACAAAGACATATACCAGACTGTTTCGTACCGTGGTTTACTTTTTTATATCCAATCATATATAAAGAAATTTTTCTATTGAAACAAAACATTTTTTTTTAAAGTTTTGCACATCACCATTTTTATTTCAATATACCGGTACTGAAAACGATTTACTCAATTTGTAATGATTTACTTTAATGATAGGTTTTTGTCGGTTTGATTTCCATATAGTTTATGTATCTATTCTTAGTAGCATCGCCAGATTTGCACTCATTTCTCTATTTGCACTATAAATAAGATGCATTAGTAGTTTATCAATGTTCAAAATTTGTAAATTCATGTCCTCAATAGACTATTTTCATATTACCGACTTTTGACTCCGGATTATATAATTTGTCGACTGGTTACCTTGGACATCATGGTACTCGGTCAAGTAAGAGCAACCAAAATAAGTAAAATCAATCATATAATCGATGTAATTTGAGGGGAAAGTTTACTGTTTTCCGATGATTTTGTAGTGAAAAAAAAATGTTAAGCAGGTAATTTTCCTCCAAAATTGTACCGATTGAACGCTTAGTTTTACTTCTTTAGCTTGCTCTTACCTGACTTGGTACCATGATGTCCAAGGTAACCAGTCGACAAATTATATAATCCGGAAACAAAACTGAGGGAATTGCATGAACTCCAAACGGAGTGAGACCAGTTAGCGTCTCCTGCTATGCATGCATCACCCGTCATGTGAATCAAGACTCAGTCAAGATGTCACGATAGAGAATAGGACACAGATAGTAAATATACAGAACAGACGACTATTCTTATGTCTTGAAATGATCTACGACAACGAAAACATTTCTTAATTTCTTCAGTGAGTTGTGACACCGCCACATAGTATCGATCAACTTATACGGGATGGTGAACTCAAACATGTTTGTGTCGATTTCAGTTGATATTCCTTATAACCCTGCTGGATGAGTTATACTTTAGAAAACACACCCTTATCAATGAAGTCATATTATATGAAAATGACCCCGCATAACGTATTGACTGAAATATAAAATCGTATGACAATGGGACACAGATTATGTCACTAAATGAACATAACACTTTATTTTCATGTAGTTTTAATCATTTCTATTATGTGGAGCAGGGTCTGCCTACCCTTCCAGAGCACCTGAGATCACCCCCAGTTTTTGGCAGGGTTCGTGTTGTTCGGTCATTAATAGTTTTCTATGTTGTGTTTTGTGTACTGTTGTTTGCCTGTTTGTCTTTTTCTTTTTTAGCCATGGCGTTGTCAGTTTGTTTTCGACTTATGAGTTTGAATGTCCTTTTGGTATCTTTCGTCTCTCTCTTCTAATGTATCTACGGTGAATGTTAGAAATTATAACCCTTGACCTTATATGAATTTGGTTATTCTGTTTAGATCCTTTTTGTTCATGTTCCTCTTAACGTTGCACCGTATTTACCCATCATTGGCTTTCAAATGTTTACGTTTGAGCGTTCCTGCTAAAAGTAAATCCAGGAAAGTGCTTCGTAAGCATGACATTTTTAAAGTGTTTATTTGTTTCACTACTTAGAAATGACATGTTAACAAAAGGAAAACTAAGACCGTGTCGTTTATCATGGGTCTCTTGTTTGAAGTCATCGATCTTTGTCAATATCAAGGAGACATATAGATACGAAGCAGCCTTTTTTGGTTTGATAGTATCCTCAATGCCAAGTCCACAGGGATATAAGAGATCAAAATCAATCGCTGAAATATGGGTTATTAAGTGCCAGGTCATCATCAATATATTAGAACGAGATGATAAAAAGCCTAGCAAGATGCTTTTTACTTTTGGTTTTGAGAGGATTTTGTATGAATTCGTCTTCATTTGTATACAAAGACATGTCGGTCGTTTGGGTGCACAATAAATACCCATTGGAATATACTTACTACATGTTGAAATGTCAATCCAACAAGGTGATAAATGTGTTGTCCAAAAAAAGTCAACCAATTTGATAACCGATCTTCCCAATTTCATATGCTGTATCTTTACTTTTAATGGAATATCGTCTTTGTACGACTGCAAGTATTTTCTCTTATAATATCATTAGGGGCCTCGGTTGCCAAATACTAGTATATGTTGTTTATCTACTGTATCGCTAGACTTTCAACATTGAGGTTGTGAACCCCGCACGTTGCAGGTGCGTTTGAATCCAATCTTTATTGACTAGCATTGCCAGTGTTCCTGCCGAATGTTGGTGGTTCTCTCCGGGCAACGGCTTCCTCAACCAATAAAAACTACTGAAAGTGGCATTAAACACCAAATGATCAATCAATAAATCAATTTTCTAATATTTTGGGTCTCGGATTTGATTTTATAGTACAACAATACTGACCTAAATAATGCACATCACAACACCGAAAGATGTAACGTTACTTTTGATTGGATGATGTTTGCCGTCAACGGTTTTCGGTCGAAGACATTGCCAACAACAACGTTCTGCAACCGCAGTCGACGTTTGCTGGAGGATACTTATGTTTTATTTTTAAACTTTTACGAATTATATATTAGAATAGGAATTACAGACTGTATTTAAAAAGTCGTTCCGCGTCGCCAGTATCACTGCATTTGCCACCGTAAAATCCACGGTGCAAAATCGTCAAATTTAAATTTATTCCTATAATTAGGTTTGTGCTTGTGTGTACATAAATAAAAAAAAAGGAGGTACTGGTAAAATAGTATTTGCATTCTTTTATTCTCAACACTACTTCAGTCAGTAAATTATTACAAAATGCACTGAAAATAGATGATGCACAATACATGCAATATGCAGCTATTTGAATATAAAAAAACTGGAGGCTTCAATGAGCAAAAATACAACATTAATACTTTTAATAAAAACAGGACAACATGCCAGTCACATTTCACACATTAATAATAATTGTGACTTGGTTTGAACCAGATCGACTCCGAGTACTTTTTAAAAAGTTATTTAAAAAATAATAATCCCTGAAAGAAGTCAGTTGACGAAATATTGTATGTAAGAGGCAACAGTAGTTAACCGATGTATTAATCTAATACATTTGGAATACACAAATCAATTGGAAAAATCCTGAGGAAATCGTTAACTCGAAAAGAATCTAGAACGGAAGTGCCATATACACATTTGTTTTGCAATTATCTAGATTGATTCTCTTTCTTGTAACATACGGGTATCAGAGCCTAACAGATAAAGGACAGGAAACCAGTCTAGCTAATACCTTGCTGTTGCAATTTCTTTCCATCTCTTTGAGTTTTCAATAGCTCAAATATGAAAATAAGAAATAGACAAAACAAGAGATTTTTCAGTTTATTTTCGAATTTGAAATCGACTTAAACTAGTTTGAATGTCCCTTTGGTGTCGTTTGCATCTCTTTTAATTACAATAACAAATATATATAAGGAGTCAATTGACATTTTTTTTTTTTATTATTTAGCTTATTTGTAAGACATGTTCATGTCTTGCTAATCTTTTTTTTAATGTTGTTGAAATAATAGCAAAACAAAACGCAAATTCCTTTAAGTGAAATAACTCATATTATAAATGATTGGGTTATGTTGAACTATTTGTAGATTACAGCTTACTTATAGTTTTTTAACGTACAGTTTCTTCTTACCTATTTTAGTGCTAGAATTCGAAAGAGAAAAATTGAAAATCAAGATGGAGATTTTCCTAAAAGTGGCTAGTTTCAAATATTTAAATATGTTTTAAAAAATTAATAACATATTTATCTAGATATGTTTTCTAAAATTTTCTTTTAAAAGGAATGCCTGCCAATGTTTTAAAAGGAAAGTTCGTCATTTAAAAGTAAATTATTGGTCCAAATGACTTTTTTTTGTTTCATTGTTTAAAGGGGCATTAGCTTCGAGATATACAAAAAATTTGAATATGATTTATTTTGTTCAATCATTAATGAAAGTCATATAGTGAAATACAAATTCGCTTTTAGCAGCCAATTTGGTTCAATTTTGTCAAAATAAGATAAATAACATCGCTGATGAATTATTCACTTGCAAGTGAATAATTCGACCTCATTGAATCCGTATTCATGTGACCTTTAATTTAACCCCTTAGCTGGAGATGAGTTACGCATGTATTCACCTATTAAAAGGAAAAGAATGTCAACATGAAAGTGAAACAAGGATGAATCATTTGGTTGACTGATTCGATCCACAAAAAAATCATTCTAACACAGGGAAAAACGATGATAAACATACTTTTCAACCTACAATATGAAATCAAACAGACCTAGAAAAAACCAATTGCACGTGGTCGCTATCAGTTTATATTTATATTTATGTTTATATCGGGTTAAATGACCGTCGGCAGTCTTCAGGGGTCATCTCAATGGTTTATTAAATGACGTCTAGACAAAAATACACACGAAATGTTGATACATCTTATCGAGTCCATGCATTATTAATTGTTTATTTTAGACTTTTTGTAAGTTGGATATACGTTTAAGTATGTTATAAACAAATATGAGAATTTTAGTCGAATCGGTGAAGATGAATTAGACACCTAATGCCCCTTTAAAGAAAATAAATGTTTTTTGCTCTTTGGTCGGATTGTTGTCTCTTTGACCCACTCCCCATTTCCATTCTCAATTTCAAAAACAACACTTTCTAGCTGGCATGCGTCCGAAGCGCTTTTCTGTGTTTTCCTTAATAAGAACGCTCAATGCCGAATATTTGAAAGCCAAGGATGTATAAAAACCAAAAAGTCATTACAGATACCAAACTCATAACTTAGTATGCAAGAAGCGAATTTCGTGTGGTCGAATCAAAACAGGTAAAATCAAGTATAAAGTATTTAGTAGAAGCATAGTCAAAACCAGATATTCAAAACAGTCGTATCAAATCTGGTTAAGCCTATCTTTGACTAGAAAAACATAGTGTTTCGAATGATATGAAACTTTTCACGAACAATTAACTAAGGAAAATGTTTAAAGTCTTGATATTTCTACTAAGAAAGTGTTGACAACTCGTTTTGGTGATATCCTCCTGAATGCCGCTTCAAAAGAAGTGACATCGATCGATAGGTTTTTTAAAAGTAATTTGATACAAAGCCTATAATTTAGTACTCCGAACGCGCGTTTTGTCTGCAAATGACCCAACGATGGCATTTAAATCATGAATGTTAAAGAGCCAAATAAATTGCGAAACTGACGAGCATTTAAACAAAACATTTCAAAAAGTTGTGGCAAAGTTGGCTAAGGTATAATACTTTATATTATGTATTTAAGTATAAACATGGTAAACATCTACAGAGATAACATATTCTAAAACTTAAAAAAAGAAAGAAAGAAGACTAGTCTCCTTATTTTCAAGTCCATTTTCCAGTACTATACATGGTATGATTTAAATATGCTTTTGTTGTAGAGTTTCAGTTTATGAATTGATGTAATTTTATTAAAAATTAAGGCTGTAAATTTCTCAAAACAAAACTGACCTATGGCGCGCTGGTGTCCTTTGCGTTCTTTTTGGTTTGATGCTCTCACAAATTTAGTTTTTTTTTATTCCAAACTTTTGGCATCAAGCGAATTCCAAACAAATGTGATTTTATTGTCATAAGATAGTATTTTACTTTTTGATTAATGGAAACTGGATAAAAAGTCAAAAAGGCATTTCGAGATTAATCATTTTAAATTTCTGGATTTCTGGATTTGCAACTACTTATTACATACAAATAATGAGTTTGACATGACAATAATGATTTTTGTTGTCTAAACAGCTGAATCATATATCTTTTCTGAAGTTTTCATTTCGCTATTTCCGATAAAGAACTCTAAATCAAATAAGAGTTACCGCACTTTGTTTAGTATGTATTATATGTAAGTTTTTTTCTTCAGTCTGTATTTAAAAAGTATATAACACTTGATAAAAACCTTCACCATTGCTATAGTAGTGTTGTAGATAGCTATGTTTTATCTGTATTGAATTAAATGAATTGTTGTTTAGGAGAACTCCATAATGAGTATAACAATATAATTGTATTACACTAACGAACTAATAAACACAAGTAATTACTGTAAATAACAAGAAAATTGACGTCCAATTTATATAAAATCTTATTAAGTTGGCAGTAAATTACAATGTAGACAGTGCTTGTCTTTTGCGGATTTTTTAAGGTGAAAATGGATAAATTCTAAATAAATAAGGATACACACATAATCAATTTTCAAAGGTAAAACTATATAATTTAAAAAAAAATCAGGTGTATATATACATGTATATTCATTTTGTTTATATGGGTATTTCTATTTATTAATACTTCTACTACTTCTAATGATAATACTTGTAATTTTAATGATAAAATAGTATATAATATAACTACAATGCACATTTTAGTTGTAGTGATATTTTCAGTGGGTTTGACTTGAATTGAGATCTTTAAACACATAAATCTTTTAGACAAAAAATAAAGAAAATAAAGTATGCTCGCTTGTCACACTTTTAAACAGAACTCTGGTGTTCTACCTTTATCTTTGAAATTAAATTTTTTCGGATGTATGTGTTTGTACATGTTTATAAAATGTTGAAAAATTAAACAACACTTTATAAATTTCATGCGTCCGATGCGCTTTTCTGGGTTTAACTTCATCCGGAACGCCCAAAGCAAAATATTTGAAAGCCAAGAATGTACAAGAACTGAAACAGTTGAAGAGCTATATGACTTAAAAGAATCTTAAAATAATAGCCAAATCCTTCTAAGGTCAACTTTGCCTGCAGGAGTTGAAACCTTAGTTTCCTAATCATTTCTAAATTAATACACGGAAAATTCTTAGAAAGGATTGTAATAAATCATGTCAGTACCAAAGTACTAACTACTGAACTGGTGATACCTTGGGGACTGAGTTATTCGAAATACTACGTTTTTTTCACAGACATTGACTGCCTTAGCCATAATTTTCAGTGTTTTAACTTGAGTGCAACTGATGAATCTTATGTAGACGAAACGCGCGTCTGGTGTACCATATTACAAGCCTGGTATCTTTTATGAGCTTTTTAAACCACTGATTCGATTCCACTACTGGTGGACGTTTTATCCCGTGGGTTTATATAGTAAACAAGGGTGTATTATTCTAAATACTTATGTGTTTCTTCCCTTGGGATATACTGCGTTAGCCGTATGTGGCACAAGTTCCGGAATTTTCGGTTTTAATGCTCTTCAACTTCGTATTAGATTTGGCCTTCCAACAAACTCCGTACAGTGATCGTTTCCGTTCCGGAACTGTTTTCCTTTACTCCATCAATCACTGCCACCGGCTTTCGAAATTCGTTCCAAAATTTGGAACGATTATCTACGCAAATAAATTTCATCAGAAACATTAGTTACCGGCTTGAAAAAACGTTACTTTTATAATGTCTTTTTAAAATTTAAACAACTTTTCCTAGATATAAAAAATGAGCATAAAATTTACGCACAACGACAGGACTGTGTATGTATCCTTATCGACGTTAGTGTAGAGTAGTATGCAGATCGGAGCTGGAACTGCCAGGGAGTTTGGCCTTCCAACTGTTAAGATTCCACTGACAGTGATGAGTCTGACACTGATGAGTATTATGTAAACAAAACGCGCGTCTGGCGTACCAAATCATAAGCCTGGTGTATTTGATGATTTTTTTGTGATTTTACTGTTTCTTTTATCCAAATACCATTTTAAATATTATGAACTTAACTTTAGGATAGAAAAGTCTGAAAACATGATGTTGCATTCAAGTGGTTTGAGCATATGGTAGTTTTGAAAATACTAACACATTCTTTTTTTATATTAAATGGCATCTGTCTGCAGTTCTTTTGTCATGCAGCCGAAGATCAAAGTGACTATATACGAAACAATATAATTGATTACCAAGCTTTGAAGAGTCACACATTGTATGTAGACAAACATTGTGAATGCTTTCTGCTTTTCATTCACAGATGTTTGTTATGCACAGTTTTGTTGATTTTGTCACAAATGATATAAGCTGATTTATATGACAATAATTTAATTTTGGATGTAACACGTCTTCTGATTGGCTGAAAGTTTTTTGTTTATCAGCTCATAGGACACAATTCTGTCATGTGACCTTGACGTCATCAACGTTTTTTTTATGATTTGCTCCTTAGAAATGGAATTTAGAATTAAATTATAAGGAATGACTGTAATATTTTTCTGCCTATTCGAAATAACATCAAAGATGTGGTGCACACTTTTAAATACCCCGCTTCGCTAGTTATTCAGTGTGCACCACATTTTTGATTATTCCTTAATAGACAGAAAAAATATTACAGTCATTCCTTAAATAAAGTTTTGAATTTAAATCAAAATTCAATTGGCTTTCAACGGATACTCATGCATAAAAAAACTTTTAATATTCATTAAAAAACCCATCATATTCCTTCGTCAAATTATTGACAACACATTTATACTTGAAAATTAATTATTTCTGTTGTATATATTTTTTTTAATTTTCATACGTTGTTTTTAAATTATATATCATTTCTTAATGCAACGTTTTGGGAAAAAAACGTCACAAAAAATTTGGGAATATTAATGAATCTGGTAGGTAAATTTGTCACATTTTTTAAATGTAAACATTTTTAGAACGTACTAAAGATATGCTATTCATATAATTCCATCTGACAACAGTTTTATAATTCTGTTATACATTGTACAATTGAAGACCACATCATATAATTTTATAACTGTACAAACCTTTCAAATATTTTTTTTTGTTTACGAATACAGCGAATTTCAAAAGATTTTAACATGTACTTTTCTTAAGCTTGTAACAGATTTTTGACAAAATTAGAAATTCGTACAAATGAACAAAACTTATTATTAATCTACTCTTTTTCCATAGAACATTAGGGGTTGTATTCAAGAAAACATAAAACATTGGAATAGCACATGAGCTGATAAGGTTATATTTTTATTAAACTGATATGCTGGAAACTGCTGAAAGTTTAAACATATTTTAATTTAGATATGGTAAAAGGCTTGACATGACAGCAACTGATTCCATTCTCAATTTTAACTGTAAGTTTAAATAAATCTTTCAAGCGAATACTAGTTTATGATACGCATTACTGGTAATTTGTTCTAATTTAAGATAATTTATTGAAAGGGAAGTGGTGGTATAAAAATTAATGAACAACTTAAAAATACGAAGTTCGTTAATATGATTTCAAATTCTTTTTGCAGATGGCTAAATAAGGATATATATATATAGGCATAGTAAATTTAGTTTGATATGAACTCTCTTGTGTTTATCATTATTTCTGAAATGTCGATTGTGTTCCCCTCTTATTTGTTTTCTACTTTGAAATGAAAATGAAGGACAAAATATTTAAAAATAGCAAAATTATCAAAACCATGAAACAGAACATGTTTCAATGTGTTTAGTATGGACTGATGCCATAGCGGTTTTTTTACATATAAAAAAACATGTTTAAAAATTTGAGTAAGATTTAATTTTATTTTGATATACATAGATCTATAGCAGCATGGATTAGTTTAATCTATTGAACAAAATTTTGGAAATCATTTTAAATTAAGGAATTTATCTCACTCATGCTAAGCTTTGATTCCTTGGTCGGCTTTGGTTATACTTAATGTCCTTTTTTGCTTATAAGCTCTTCATTATTTAATAAGTTTTTGATTTTCCAATATTTTTGCCTCAAGCAAAGAGAAATTTATTTTTGAAATGCGGAATTGGAGGTCATTTTTACTGGGTATAAATACATAAACGTTGAACTATTAGTCCGTCCACAAAATAAAAGCTTAAATTCACCTGTAGTTTTTTGTATGGTTCTGGTTGCTCAATCTGGAGTTTTCTGCGTTGTGTTTTGTGTACTGTTGTTTATCTTTATATAAAAAAGAAGATGTGGTATGATTGCCAATGACACAACTATCCACCAAAGTTCAAATGAAGTAAATATCCTTTTCTTTTTTTTTTTGTCCAGTGTTTTAATTTGAATTAAGTTTTTTGGTTGCCCCCTTGGTTACTTCACACTTTTTTTTTCTACAAAGTAAAAACATATATTTGACAGATTTTTTTTCGGGTTAAGCTCTTTTATTGTTTATAATTTTATCATTATCATACTGGTGCATTTTTGCATGTAGATTAGTTTTTATTATAGCTCAGTGTAACTTTTGTACACAACATGCTTCATAGTTCAGAGTTCATGGTTGTCTCGTTGGCAATCATACCACATCTCCTCATTTTATATGAAACAAACTAGTTTAATAAAAAAAAGTTTCATTGTGAATATAAGCAGCCTCACCCAGCCAAACCACGTCAACTGTTTTATATCCAAAAAGGATTTTTAACCTAGTAATAACTTGTTTATTATTTGGTAGTTTTCTTTTTTTATGCCATTTTCTTTTTTTTTCGTGGAACGCATTCCAATACAACTTCACAATTATTTGGTCCTGACACAACAGGTTAGCAAATAAAACTGCATCATATGTAAACAGATCTGTAATTACTGGTTTATAAAGCACATATGTGGTATTCTAATCTGTGAAAACCAATTGTTGAATTGACGTGAGATTGTGACATTGTTCAAGCCATTTATGGCTGTTGGGTCACTTGACTTAATTCATCCAATTTATGCAATTTTCTATCCATCGGTAATTCACTTTGAAATAATTAAACATGAGATTCACTCTTGGGGTAGAAAAATGTCGTTCTTATTATCAATGCAGTATTGACCCCACACACTAGTTTAATAAAACGTGCATTGAATGACTGTAAAAATAGAAAAAATAGTAAAACTATCGTTTTTATAATAAACACAGTTTTGTCCCCATGCCTCATCCCCCAGTATTAGAAACAATATTTACACTAAAGTCTTATGTATTTTTTTTTTTATTGAGGTGGATGACATTCCAAAACCTCCAAGAAAATTTTATAAAAATAACTGAAAGACATTTTTTAAATGGTCATCATTTTGTACACAGTGCACGCCGTAAAAATACAGGAAGCATGTGGTAACCAAAATACGTATATAAAGCCTACATTCTAACTGAACAGCGCAGCAAAAAGACATTGTGACAAGCTAAAACCATTTCAGCTTGTTATTGTTGGACATATCTTTATAGTAAAGTGTTTCTCAATTTCCCTGTCAAACATTGTGTAAATTTATGAACTTCAAACTCTTTCATTCAAGTTTTATGTGCACTTTGTTTCAGACGT